GGCTTTCCCTTTTTGGGGCACTATTCATGATGAAAGCATGGCCTTTAAGGGGTGTTGGTCCCACAGCCTCTGCTGATGCATCGTGCTGGAACTTCAGCATCCTTGCTGGAGGAACTTAGTGTGCTGGGTGCTTCCAATTTTCAGCTCTTGGGTCAGTTTTTCAGGGACTGATCATACAGGCTTTTAAAAAATTTAACATGGTTGTGCATTGTGTGGTTTATTTTAGACTTAGAGACTTAGCTCTCAAAGCAATAATAAGTCCATATTTCCTTACCTTGCTGTTTTTGACAGTTTTGGCTCTATAACCTATCCAGGTTACTTCTAAGCAGCAGCAGCTCTGTTATATTGACTTTTAAGTGCTTAAAGTAGCTTGAAAACAGTGAGAAGATGGTTTCTGGCAGTGATGTAGATGAACAGGAAACATGTCATTAATTCTAAAGACCCTTCAAATAACTTTCAAATATTAATTATTAGCTCCTGATTCTATAAAGTCCTTCTAAGCTGAAAATCCATTTTAAACCTCAAGCACAGGCTCTTGCAGTCAGGAGTTAACTGGATCTGCCTCTGGATTCTCCATGGCTTGCCAAGGAGCAGCTCCTGGGCTGAGGCATGCCTTTGAGTTTGCCTTAAGGGTACTTTTTCCAAAGAAATTTGCAAGTTAAGTAACAGTCACAGCAGCTTGGAGTTCCAAAAGAGAGCTGCCCTGAAAGGCAGGTTTAGTGGCAGGAGCTGGCAGTGACTGACTGGCTTGTAGTAAATATGGGGTGTCCATAAGGATGGGGTAGGAAAGCCCTTGCTGGAAACAGGATCTGCATGGGATGGTAAATGTTCTGCTTTCTAACTGCTGTACTGAGGAGGGCTATGGTCATTTCAATGTCTTCAAAATACAGGATTGCCATTGGAAACTGCTGTTAATAGTAGAAATGAAACTGAAAGGTCTCCCAAGCTGCCAAAAGCTTTGGAGTGGCTTTAATTTCCAGTACCTGGACAAAAGATGGAAGACAGGATCCTGTTGCTGTAAGAGGCTGAGTCAGAGTGAGTACAAGTTCACCATGAGTTTTGGTAGCTTGAGTAGCTGATTTGGAGTAGGTTTGTACTTTGAGAGGCTCAAGAGAGAATGTTTTGAGAGGAGCATGTGGGGGACTGCCTGTTGTCTTGGGATTTCCAACTTCAAGGCAGCACCTGGTGTGCTGGTAGAGCCCAGTAGTGAGCCCTGATCCCAAAGGAAGCACTTTGTGTGCCTGGGTCCTGCAGGGGTACAATACAGCCCTGTGTAATCCAAGCAGTCAGCTGTCTGACAGCCAGTACAGGCCAGCAACAACTGGGAATGTTTTTCTCTGGAGTGGGAGGAAGAAGGAATGAGGTGGAACTCTGTCGAATTAGAAAAAAGAAAATATCTCAATTGAGCAAGAGAAAGGGACCTTTCTTGGCCTTTCAAACCAGAAGATGTGGGGATGCTGTAAGTTGGCACAGCCAGACTTTGGTCTCAATTTCAGTTCAAAATGGACATTTCAAAAAACAACACTCCCAAATGAAGCACTGTTGCATAGCTCCAGCTCCCTGCAGCCAGCTGTATGGCACAACTGGCAGAAGTCTCGCCATGAAACCAAATGCAGCAATGTCCTTTTGCCAGAGCCTTTTACTGGAAAAGCATCATGCTATGTCCAGTAAAATCCACCCAACCTGCTGTTGTGGATGGATGCAGTTTAGGAACTAAGCAGTGCTTTCCAGAGCAAGAGGAAACCAACTGCTGAGTGAGCCACAATGTTACACCTCCCACTGGGAATTTCCAGCCCTTTCCCTCTTCCTTCCTCCTCAGAATATATATAGTAAATCCACTAAATGGAGCACTGGGGGAGGTGGCACCCAAAGGCAGGAGCTGTAGCAGAGGCTGAGTGGCCCCAGTTAAAAGTAGCTGACAATACCATGACCAATCCTGTGAGCATCCCAGTCATACCACCCGTCCTGGCAGCAGGGGAGATGCCTCAGACAGCTATGCTGGTATTGAGTGGGAGGAAAGTTCCTTAAATAACCACCAGTGCCTCCTGTTCCCTCAGTGTGTCAACACTAAGTTGTTGTTTTATTCTCTGAACAGGAAAAATTAGTTAAGTCATTGTGTGGCAAGCAAGTGACAGAAATGAAATAATGTTTTTTGCTTTTTCTAGCTGCTGGATCTGTTTTAGCACACAGCAGATAATTTCCTTGTCATTTTGCATTTCTATTCAAAAACCTCTAAACAGTGGATGAAAACCAGGACAGAAGAGGAATAGATTTGGGTAAAATCAGGGGAGTAGCATTCTATTGAACCTCATCACTGACTGCTCCAAAAGAACCCTTATCTAGGTTTTGGGTTTGGAATACCTGCATTTTGAGGGGGTAAGGCAGCATTGGTGCCTTCCCCATCATTGTTTGTCTTTGCATATGGTTAAATTACAGTTCATAATCCATCATTGAAAAGCCTTACTCTTAATATACCTTACACTGTCTGCCTCTTCTTATTGCAGGTGAGTAGCAAGTGTTGTTTTGGTGCAAAATCAGTAAAATGGGATTTCATTTAATTAGTATTGTCTCCCAGCACGTCACAATTCTAGATAATTCCAAACAACTGTTTCCCTCTTCCATATTTCCCCAGCACAAGGAGGGGATGTTGGCAGTGGTATGGAAAAACAAACCATTAGTATTCAGGTTGGCATTGTAAATGGCAACAGATCTCAGCTCTTTTGGGGATTTGTCTTTTGACAAATTGTTAGATACATCTGAAATTGTAACTACCTCCCTTATGGTGTTTGTTTGTCTGTAGACCAGATTCTGTCCTTGCTAGCCAGATTGAAGGTTAGTCTAAGCATTTTCCATGCAATTTCTGCTTTTTGAAATGGCAGTCATGAACCTAGGCAAAAGATGTGGCCTAATGTGTCTGGGGAATTAAGTCACTCATTTCCACACTGTTGTACTTTGCTTGCTTTTCTTTACTGCTCTGAAAACAAATTAGTAGAAAAAACATCATCTGCAAGATAGTTTTGCCCTGTTGGCATCCAGGGACAGTCAAGTTTTCTGCCTCTTGGGTTATTTCTCCCTAGAGCAAATGATGCTTCCTTTAACTAGTCTCCTTGTTCAGCAGTCTTCCAGTTTCCTTTGCAAGATAATTTTAATCTTTTTTTTTAAAGTGATCTTCACTTTAGGATAGCAATATCTGTTGACCTAATCAGACCATGCACTGCTAACCACTGCTTGTAGTATATAACTTGTTAGAAGACCTCAATTTTTTTTACTGAATAGGGTCTAGAAATGAAGAAACTCTCAAACAGGAAAAAAGTCTTTTACTCAGCTTTCTAACTTTCCTTAAATTCAACTGTTTGTTGGGGTTTTTTAACTAAAAGCAGCTATGACAAACAAAAAGTCTTTTACTCAGCTTTCTAACTTTCCTTAAATTCAACTGTTTGTTGGTTTTTTGTTTAATTTTTTTTTAATTAAAAGCAGCTATGACAAATGATGTGAAGAAGAAAGCAAATGGGAAGTGCTAAACTTGCTTACAGGAGGTTGAAGCAGCAGAACAGGATTCAGTGTGACCATGTAGAAGGTGGGACACAGAGGAAAATGGTTCTGCCTTTGCATGTGAGGTATTAAGTTCTGAGCTGCCCCTGTAACAGCAGGAATCCATTTCTGAGCTGTAATAAGACATATCATGACAAACATTTAGAATCATAGGCTCTCTGTAGCCTGGAGGAGAGGTAGAATGAGATAAGGGCTTATAAAAATCATGAGTAGCAGAGAAAGCACCTACAGGTACTGATCATCTGGGATTTGCTTTGTAGAGACTGAGGCTCATCAAATGAAATTAGGAGATGTCCTGAGCAGTCAGAGCCTGTTCTTTGTTCTACAAAGTGCTGGGAGCTCTTGCTGCTGTGGCAGCAGGGTTTTGTTTATATGTGAGGTTAGTTTGCAATATTTCAGACAGCAACTGGACAAAATAAGGCCTGTCAGGAAGTTTCACTGCAACAACACAAGCTCTGGCTCAGAAACACCTTGAGTACAACACGTTGGAGGCTTAGAAAGCATTCTGGAATAATATGATTACCCTTTTGCCAGGCAGGATGCTGGGCTGTAAGTGACCCAGGACAGTGGTTGTTGTGTGCCTAAAGAATTCCAGTTGTCAGCTGGCTGTCTTGCTTTTGACATTCTTAAGTGTTCTGCTAAAAATGAGGGGCAGGACTTGTTTTTCCTATCATACTTCCCTTAAATGTTCTGTAGTTTTGATGTTAACAGTCAAAAAGTGCTGTACTCCCTAAAAGATAATCCACAACTTGTAAAGTATCTTTAGAAGCAGACAGATAAAAATAAAACACTTGTATCTTAATGCATAAAATTCCATCAAGTTTAATACATTTAATACATACTTCTCTTGAAGTAATTAAAAATATTGTTTCTTCTATTATTCTGTCTTAAAATATCTGACCTACTTAATAATATCCATTACAAACATACTAAATTATATCAACATTTTCAACCCAGCTCCACTTAACTTATTCAAAATTTTGTCTATTTACTTGCTGTATCTTTCTTTGTCATAAAACTGATTTCATTTCTACATCAGCAAGTCAAACTTTCTGTAGTTTGAAGTACTTTTAGGAGTACTGAGCTTGCTCGGTCTTACAGTGGCTTCTTTTCCTTCAAAACTGTATTAATTCTGCCATAACCCAGGAAGGACTTTTCCAAAGACATTATTTCAGTGAGTACATTCTTGACTTAATACTGAATTCAGATACGTGGGGGCCAAACACTGCAGTTAGATTTGGAAAAGCAAACGTGGTGACACAGCCTGAAACTACAAAGCCATGGCAGCGCTGAGCTCGGAATTCACCCTCTGGAGAGGCTGGGCTTGGAATTCTGCCTCTGGAGAGGCTGGGGCTCGTGTTACCCTGGTCCCTGAGCAGCTGCTGGGCTGGGGCTGCTGAATGGAGCCCCTTGTCTGCTGGCTGGAGCCAATGACAAGTGTCTGGGAAGCGGTTCCGCAGCCTGAGCTAAGTTTAGTGCCGTGGATTTGTTCCTCTGACTTCACATTCCCGCTGCCCCCCACAAAGGAAATCAGCCCAGAGGGCTGAGGAGGAGCAGGACAGCCAAACCTCGCTCAGCCAGGGCTCAGCTGGATGGCAGGGGATTTCCACCTTAGGAGTTTTCCCTGGTTCTGAAGTTCACAACACGGCATGCAATTTTTCGGCAAGTATTCACGCTAAAGCTCGGCCTTTCTTGGAGGAAAGGAAACACTTGTTTGTTTTCTAAAACAAATGTATTTCAAAGGAGGCAAGATCACAAGGGTATTTTAGTCAAATGAAGTAAATATTCTAAAAAGGAACCCCCTTCTTTGTTCAAGAGAAGAAAATACTGTGGACGATTGTTTGAACAGCATCTTGGTTGCTGACAAGTGAGGTTGAGAGTTTTGTGATTTATTTTTAGCTGGAGAATTTTTTTTTAAAACAGAAGTGCTGTGTAGCCTTGGCAGTTGCTGCATATTCGGTGTGGGTGGATGGAACTGAGCAATCTCATCTGTGCTAACAAGCGTTTTGGGATTCCATTAAAAAATTAAACCCATGTACTGGAAACTGAAGCTGTACCAGCCCACCTGGGGAGCTCTGCCCTCCGAATATCCTCCACAAGGTAAGCAGTGCTGCCTGTCCAAGGCACTTGCAAAAATACTTGGGCCTCAAGATGTGACATCAACTCCGATTTGGGCTATTAGATTGACATTTTCTTTCTCTCCTGAGATTACAGGTCAATGAGTTAATCTCTACCCTCTCCTTCCAAGTTTTTCCTCTAACTAAAAGAGCTAAAAATAAATTTCAAAAAGGCAGCTTAGAAACAGTTTAATGTGGTCATTGATCCAAGTGCCAAGTCTAAGGAGAGTACCTAAAACTGTAAGGTATCTAATAAGATGTAATTATGTCACTGGGAAAATAGCTTGGACATTTATGTCATGTTAGCTCAAAGGTCTGATCAGTTAGTGCTTTACAGCTGCAAAATAAACCTCTCTCCAGCTAGACTTTGTGAGTGTGGGTATTTCTGGTTCCTTCAGGGATGGGCTGAGCTGTGATTTCTCAAGTAGCCTTTTTGCAGAAGAGCTCTTACTTCAAGTGTTTGTGTTACACTGTGAGTAAATAAGTACCCATTTGATTTGCTTAGAAGTAGATAATATCTGGCTTTGATGTGGCCAGTAGTAGCAACTCCCCAGGAATTCTGTTGCAGTGAAGTGTAATCCCCATTAAGCAACTTCTCTCCCGAGGTACTGATTTAAAAAAGTGCTAAATGACTTGCTGTAAGCTGTCGTGTATTTGGCCATCCCACCTTTCCTGGAGCAGGACTGGGTGACCTAATCCTCCTCACCCTTCACACTGGAGAGGTTTACTGGAACTTGCCAGGACAGAGGAAGAATGTCAAACGCACTTTTGATCTACAGTTTCCCAGTTACCTTCAAAATCTGTGTCCCTTCACTGCACTCCTTTCCCTAAAGCTGACATTGTGGCAGCAGTTGCTGTCTGCTGTGGGCAGCATTCAGAGGAGAGACTGGAGCTTCAGTACTCAATGGAAGGAGGTATGTGATACAGAGCATTTACCCTTGCTGCTCTCTGCTTGTTTCTAAACTCTTGCAGTTGCAAAGCTGACTGGCTCTATAGGAGCTGAGCAAATCCTTGGGAATTAAGGGAACAAACACTTGGATGCAGTGCTCACAATTTTGCAAAAGGGTTACATTTGTAGTTTTTTGTTCTAAGAACCTCTTTGTATTTAATTTTAATTACATTAAAATCTCTCTTCAGGAAAGGAAAAGGTTTTTTCCTTATCTGCTGTGCTGTTGGGTTTTGGTTCCTCCCCCAGAGGCTCATTTAAAGAAGTCAAACTTGAGCTGTGTCTGGTCCAGTGCTCCTCACCATTCCCAGTACCTGTGCCAAGATCCAGCTGTTTTTACCTTCTAACAGCTGTTAGGTCCAGCTCTCTTGTGCTCACATGGTACCTCACCCTAAAGTGCTTTTTAAATGCATCTAAACCCCTGCATCATTTTGCTGGCTGCACTTACCAGAATTGCTTTCCTGACAGAGTTCTGTGAAAATCTTAGAGGTGATGAGAGTCAGACTGTTTGGTTAACAGTGTTGTACTGAACATGATCAATACTTCATCTACTTCAAAATTCTCTCTTAAAACAGCAGAGCTACCAAATGCTGCTGTGGATGTTCAGTCATAGCCTATACTTAGATCTATGAAGAAATTTATATATCTTAGTTTCAAGGAATGAAGATTTTCAAGTGAAGGCTTGGGAGTTTAAGCTTGATTTATTTCATACTGGATTCTGCAACAAAAAGCTACTTCATCAGAAATTAGTTGAGGAAGAAATAGGGAAGCACAGCATTATGTTGATAATGGGAGAAATGTGTCACTGACATCTAAGCAAAGAAATGGGCTGAGGGACACCTTTGATTGCATTAACAAAGGGAGGGGATAACTGGTACCAAGGAAACAGAAGACAGGCAGTTTTTCTAAAATTTTAACACAGCTAACCCCTTGTAATATTCAGGTAGACAGACAATGTCTTGAATTCTTCACACCTTGGTGGAACTAAATCAATTGAGATCAGTATCTCTCTCTCCTTTTACCAATTAGATTCAGTAACAACAAATCCCAAAACTTTGTTTTCCCTTGGATTTTTGTATTAAGCTAGCCAAGAAGCCCCTCTTCTAGGCAAAACCCACCACTTTAACCCCTGTTTCTTATCAGCACTTCATCATGCTACAAAATTAATCTGTTTGCAAGGGATGAAGCATATAGAGAACCCTTTCTCCATGTATTTCTCACTTGAAACCAAAGATCACTTTTATCTGTGTCAGATATATTTGGATGATTGAGGCATGACAGTGCTGCCAGCTTGAAATATTTCCTTTTATATGATATGAGCTGTTTATGATGCAATTTTGTCACTGACTCTGAAATCTCCTCCCTTTCTGTCTCTCCCAGCCTGGTACCATAAATAGAAACCTACTCCTTGCCCATCCCGAGTTCTTGGCTCGGAGCTGTATTTCTTGGCTTTCCTCAGGGGGTTGTTTACAATACTTAAACCTTGCCCCACTCTGTGGGAGGCCCAAGGACTAACTATGGCTCTGTGCTTGGCTCTAGCAAACCACATTATTAAGAGTCTGGTTGCTTTGCAGGAGAGGAACACCTAGGAATGGCATTTAGGTAGTGCCTGCATTTTACCAGGGCCATGTGTGAGCTCTGTGACCCCTTCAAAGCGGTGTTTTGCACGGCCACAGGGATGTCAGCAGAAAAACTAGGTGGTCCATTTAGGGAAAGGCTGCAGTCTGTTACAGGGTAAAGGAAGTTCATAGGTCTGCTTCAATACTACCACATTATTAGACAGCAGAAACTTGGCCTGTTCAGCACTGGTTGCTTTTCAGTGTGTAGCTTGTCTTGAGTATTTTTGGTTAGCAGGAAGCACTGAGACTTGGCTTCAGAAACAAAGCTGCTGTAGAACTTGATACTGTTCCAATCATGTCAGCAAAATAGGAAACCCACTTGCTGCTGTGTTATCAGTTTTGTTTCCTTGTATTCATTAAGGCAGAAATCCTCCCACTAAGAAGCCAGTTAAAGATCTGAAAGTCCAGTGTGTAATGTGATGTATGTTTTGGAGGTGCAGTGGAAAATACCAATTATACCAGCACTTATTAGGTACCTGATGGTCTGCTTTCCATGAGTTGATGACCAGTGCCTGTTTTTTGGTGGTCTTAAAAGTAAGCAACTAAAATGAGTCTGTCTGTAAAACTGTGTCATAGTTAATTTATTGGTGTTTAGTTTAAGGACTGAAGAGTGAAAATGAGATACATGGGATCTTGTAGGGATCTTGGTGGCTTTGTGTTTGAGTTGTCCCTATGTCAAAAAATACATTCAAGTCTACACCCTGTGGGTTTTGCTGTGTCAGATTAAGATGTATGCAATAACCAATATTTACCCCATAAACCTCCTTGCCTCTCTCCTTGCATTGACAAAACAAGCACTTTAGCTTATGGCCAACAACACCAAATCAATTTCAGGGCTGTATTTTCATTAACATATTCTTTACTTTGATTAAGAGATGTTGAAATTCAGAGTATTGCAAGTTTTTTAGAAGCTCCCTAAACTATACATTACAAAGTAGCATAGTCAGCAAGATTTCCTTTTATTCAACTTTTACCCACTGCTGGAAGAACTAGAAAAATGCTTCTAAATGGATGACTTAAGTTGTACAGGAAGAGTAACCACTCTCAGGAAACAGCTTTGAAGGGCACCACAGGGAATTGGGTAAAGAGCTGGGAAGAACTGCTGTGCCTGAAAGGTGGATTCTTCCACTGAGGAAGTTGAGTGTACCAGAATTAAGATTTTATGTCATGCACTTACTGTGAAGAGCACAGGAACAGGATGCAGATGTGGGTGCAGGTGTCAAAGTGATGGCCTGTTGTATAAAATATCTATCTAGGAAAATCAGTTTTAAGAGAGATAATGCTCATCTAGAAGCCAGAAAGATGCTGGATTTTATTCTGGCTGGATGCATTTGACAGGACCTTATGAACTGCTGTGTACTCCCTGTCCTTTCTACTGGAGAGCACCTTCAGGAGGGTGCCTGGAAAGAATGTAGGCACAAAATTACTCTGCTGTAGGAGACTTATAGCCAAAATGTTTCTCACCAATAATGCCACTGCTGGCAGCTACATGGTTCCCATCAGGAGCTCTTAACACACCAGCCAGCCATCAGCCTTTGGCTACAGACTCTTCTGACAGAGGCTAAAATTGATGGGGTAAGTAGGGATATGTGCAAAATACATTATTAATCCAACTTAACTTCCTGCTAATCCTTCTTTGTTCAAAATACCAATTACTCATCCGTTGTACTTTAACTAAGAAGTAAATGTGTTATTTTAGCTAAGGTTAGTAACTGTCACTGCTGAGACTAATCTAGCCACAAATCCATACATAGCTTGCCCTTCCTGGTACCATTTTAGGTAAGGGTGATTGTCACAAAGCTCATCCAAGTCTTTCTGAAACTGTGCTGGCTTTCTCCACAAATTCTGATTGTTCTTTGTGTATTAACAGATATGCTAAGCTAAGTACATATGCCAGTGTAATTCAGAGTACTTGGAGCAAATGCAAGCTGAGAAAACAGGAAACTGCAAGAAGCAAAACAAAGAGGAAAAGAGAGAAAGCCTAGGAGCTCCCAAGTAAGGTGTCTCATCCTCTGACTACTGGGTAGCATGCTGCAGGATTCACTAAGCTGGTTTTGGAAGAGGAAGAAAAGAGGTCACCCACTTGTCACAAGTTTAGGAACAGCAGTATTCAGGTGTCCTAAGTTAATTGATGCAGGTGAAATGACTTTTGTCAGAAGGCATATGGGAAAGGCAACTCCTCATCATCCCAGCATCTCCACAGTTCTATATACTCTTTTTCTACATTCACAACCTTACAAGATACATGCATTTGGAATAAGCCTGCTTGCTTACCTTTGGTCTGGTTTGAATCCTCATCACACCGTGCAGCTGCCCTCTCACAGAATGAAGTTCACAGATCATGGAAGTGCTGCTTTCTTGCCTCACTGGACTGCAGCAACTCCTGTCCCCCAACAAAAGCCTAAACCACAGACTTCCCTTTCCCTGCTCCCTTTTATACCCCTCTGCAGGCCCACCACCCTCCTAGGTGTGAGACTGCCATGGTGAGTGCTGGTTTGTTAACCCTTCCATGGCCACCTGGCAGGAGGAGCCTGTCCTGCCACAAGGCAGCTCTACTAGAAAACCAGGGCTTTTAAAGAATTCATCAACAAATCTGGGGGGTTTGAGAGGTAATTTGATGGGACCATTGTGGAAGCTGTTCCAAGTGTTATTAAATCAGTAAATGTGCAGCTCAGACTGGGTGCACTGTGCTGGCCTTGCTTCTGTGTCTTTCTGAGCTCCTGACACATCCAAGAGCATTCATGTGCTTAGTGTTTGTAATGTGCAGCTCAGACTGGGTGCACTGTGCTGGCCTTGCTTTCTGTGTCTTTCTGAGCTCCTAACACATCCAAGAGCATTCATGGGCTTAGTGTTTGCACCTCTCCAAGATGTGGATTTTCACCAACAGCCTTTCCTGATTCCTGTTAGTAGTGCTCCAGCAGTGGTATGTGGAGTGGAAAAGTGAATCAATCTGGGCGGTCCCCTTAATGGGTGATCTGTTTTGTAATTTGTGCAAAGGAATTTCTCCAAGGAAACTGTTTGCTTTCTTCCCAAACACTTTGTTACCTAACTCGTAGTGGAACAAAACTCTGTCTCTCCAGCTCATCTCAAAGTTGTTTCAACTTGCAGTCCAGTCCCCACATCCTCTGTGTGTTCAGCAGTCCCTGGAAAGCTCCACCCTCCCATGCAGCTAATAAGCAGTTAGCCCAGGGCCTGATTTTCCCAGTCTCTGCTCTGCCTGCCAGCAGTGCTTCCTTTCCCCTTGGCCCCAGCCTGCGACTGCCGTGTGTGGAGCCCTGTGCTCAGCCCAGGACTCGTGGTGCCAGGCAGCCTCTGTGCCCTCTGGGAAGCACAGCATGAGTGTGGGCACAGTGCTCTTCCAGTCCAGCAGCTATGGCAAGGAGGGCACACTGCTCTGCTGCCTCAGCGAGGGCCCCTCGGAACCCGCTGGCAGCTTCACAGGTAGGATGCTCGGGGTGTCGTCCTGTCCTTCCCTTTCCTCTGTTTTTTCAAGTGCTTCAAGGAGGATGAGGTTTTTTCAGTCTGTCTTTGTCTTGTAGTATGAGGCCAGCCACAGGCAGGTGTGAGATTGCCAGCTTTTGTTGGGATTTTAGGATTAGTGAAATGCTTCTTTTCTATGAGCAGTTACAGAGTATTTCAGAAATGGAGACTACTTCAGCACTTAATGTGACTCTAAAATTTAAAATTCAGCATATTCTACCTTCTGCTCTGAGACCAAAGAGATTGGTAATTGCAGCAGGGGTGGGGGACAAAGCACCCCTTACATGGTAGCTGGATAGGAAAGCTTTCATATCCGGAGAGAAGCAAATTGTATTGTGGGAATAAAGAAAAGGAAGGAGATGGATGAGGCATAACCTCCTTGTGTGACTGTGTATTACTTGTTCACTAAGTGATGATGTAAGTTTTCCATTGCATAGGAAATTAAAGTGATAATATAAGATTTATGGTTAGCCTTGGAAAGGAGCTGATATAAAATGGAATTTCCCAGCTCATTTCCTGACTTCTGGTGTGGACTGAGCTCACAAACTGTTCAGCTGGAGGGGCACCATTGGTGACATGCTTTGTTTGTGATCATATTTCTCTTCTCTGATGGATGGTGTAGACCCCACACCATATGGAACAGCGTGGGCTGTTGTGGAATTATAACCTGCAAGAAATACTTTTGTATCCTGGTAAAAACCCCTTTAGGTGTTGGGTAACTTTTACAGTTATTTAAGCATTCAAGTCACTTTAACATGAAAGTGAAGGAAGTTAGTGAGACGTGAACTCTTAAAAGCATTTGATTTTTAGGTAATGTGATTTTTAGGTAAGCACTGTAGCTAAGTGACTGAAGCTTCTCATCAAACATTAACTTCTCCTGGCTTTTTTGTACATCAAGTGGGTGTTAAGAACCTGTACCAACCTCCCAGGCATTCCCAAGAAAGTGGTAGGAGTTGCACATCTGCTTTGACTCCCCTCTGCCAGTCCAGGAAACCCCCAGATGTTTCCATGTGGGCAGAAGTCTTGGTGCTGACCAGGTGGCATTCCTGCTGCCTTCACCTTGCCTGCACAGGGCTTGCTGCAGCAGCTCTGGAGCTGGGCTGGCCCTGGGCTGCTTCAGGCTGTGCATGGATAAACACTTTGTGCTGTCTGTGGAGCAGGGCTTGAGTGCTTAGTGTGTGAGCTTGTCTGGCTGGAGAGAGAAACTTAAAGGATGCTTTGACTTGGAAGAAATGTTAGATTTTTATTTAAAGCCTTTCACTGGTTGGCAGATATATAATTGAAAGTAAGAAGGGAATTAACACTGTTAGGTATTTTTGAGCTGAAAGGTTGGGTATTTTTTGAAAACTGCCTAGTCTGTGGAGCAGGGCTTGAGTGCTTAGTGTATGAGCTTGTCTGGCTGGAGAGGGAAACTTAAAGGATGCTTTGACTTAGAATAAATGTTATATTTTTGTTTAAAGCCTTTCACTGGTTGGCAGATACCTAATTGGAAGTAAGAAGGGAATTAACACTGTTAAGATATTTTGGAGCTGAAAGGTTGGGTATTTTTTGGAAACTGCCTATTTTTGTGTTTGCTCTCTAGCAGAGATGTGTAAGTCAGGGTTCTCATCCAGCACATTTCACTTTGCTTAAAGCATTGAAACACTCATAACACAAGTCACTGTAGGAGCATAAAGAATGGATTATTTAATTAAATAGTATTTTTACTCCATAAAGAGAGCTGGATTTAGGAACTGGTGTTCTTTCATGGAGCTGAGTATGCACACATCCAGCCCCAAGAAAATACAGTGGGATATTGGCAGCCATGCTGTAATGTAGGTGGCTGAGCATTGGGATTTCTTACTTTCCATGATATCTTCCAGTCTGATGGGTTAATATCTTGCAAAACTAATTCCAGTTGTAAGTTAGGAATAAGTGTATGTAAATATTGCATCTGCAGGCAGTGCAATCAAGGAACTGACATTTTGGTGCCTCAGTATGTAGGCTCTTCTTTTTGTGCTAGGAGAGCCTTGACAGAAGGATACTTTTAGGTTATTAAGTAATTGCAAGATGAGCAGGTTATGCAAGAAATAGAACTCTGAATAATTACCAGGAATGCAGTCAAAAGCCACTTAGCTAAGTTTAAAATGGAAACAGAACAAATCTCAACCATTTACTTTCTCATATACATACAGTACAGTTAAAAAATTACATTTTAGGCTGGAAACCCCCCATAGTCCTCATTTTCCAGGCTTGAGCTCTGTCCTGTGATACAGATTTGGCATATTACTGTGGCTGTTACATGGCACAGGCTTCTTCCTGTTTTGTGTCTCACTGACTTCCCAATTTTCCTGTCCTGTGCTGCATTTGAGCTCTTTGTTCCTTTCTCAATTGCCTTACAGAGCAGCTCTTGCTCATGAGTATAAATCTCAGGGGCCTGTGGAGAAGGGGGTAGGTGTAGCCACATACACATTCTCTGACAGTGTCTGCCTAAAACATCCCAAGCCTGACTTCTCAGCCCATCAGAAAATGGGCCAAACCAATGACAGTAAAGCAAAGAAAGCCTCAGCTTTTTTTTAGGGAGAACTTATTGTGTTTTGTGCATTTAATGAAATCTCTTTGCAGTATACATTTCTCTATGAAAGTTCAATTAGAGAATTCAGAAATAGATATTGGGACAGGGATCTGTGCTGTCAGAGAAAAAGTATATAACTTTAATAAGTATATAACTTATTATAGTTACTATTACTATAACACCTCCATATGTTTTTTTCCCTTGAGCAGCCCCCATTTATGACACCACACCATCACACTTTTTCTTTTCTTAATATTGATGTTTACTCTACTACATGTTCCTGGAAAACCTCTCAGTGAGTAAGAAAGCCAGTGATGGTCTTGACAGAGCACTAGCATGAAGTGTTCACAGTTTTGCTTCTTACTGCAGTTCTTCCTAAAACCCTGTGGATTTAGATTAGTTTTAATCATCACAAGAACTGTAGGGACCTCTTTCTTTTGTTGCTAAAACATGTCTGATTCCTCCCCCCACTCCCTTGTAGTGACAGGTTTGCATCAGTTGTCTGTTGAAACAGCAAAACAGAAATGCTGCTGCCAAATACCCAGCATCACCTGTGCTGCCTTCTGTCCCTGCTCCTGTCAGTTTTCCACCTCTGTTTACACAGTCTTGAAATGTATTACAAATCACTGCGATTCCTGTTAATACTGAACCAGTTACTATCCCAACTTACACATCTCATTTGTGTCATAATTCACTCTTACTTGTATTTGTAGTGTTGGTTTCAGATCCAGGCTGTGTCCACCACAGAAACAATAACATTTTGTGATTGAAAGGTTTTCTTCACTACTTCATGTAATTTTAAAAAGTGCTTTTAGTGTGCACCTATTTTTAATCTATGAATGCTTAAATAATTTCGAATACAGGTGTAGATATATAATAAATATTAAATAGAAATTTTATATACATAGCTTACTATTTGCCTTATAGCAGCTAAATCACCTTCTCCAGGAGTTGGACTCGATGATCCTTGTGGCTCCCTTCCACCTCAGGATATTCCCTGTTTCCATGATTAGATCTGTACACAGAGTGATTGCCTCTCGTGTCCTTTCCTCAGAGGCCCTGCACCGCCCCTACGGCTGCGACGTCGAGCCCCAGGCACTGAACGAAGCCATCAGATGGAGCTCCAAGGAGAACCTGCTTGGAGCCACTGAGAGCGATCCCAATCTCTTTGTTGCACTTTACGATTTTGTAGCAAGTGGTGACAACACACTCAGCATCACCAAAGGTAAGACTGGGAGTGGGCTTGGAAACTTAGCGACAGAAATCAGGGAATGGAATCCCTGCCTGGATAGGAATGGGAGTAGTGCATTAGAGAGTGGGAGTACTGCACTTAGAGAAGCTGGTTCCCTACAGCAGTGGTGGGAAGCAGACAGCCCGTCCCTCGTGGTGATGGAGGGACACCTGCTGGGCAGTTCTGCTGGGACAGGCACAGTCCAGCCCTCTCCTGTGCCCGGCTCCCCACATCACTGGCCCTGTGGGATACCTGCTGTAGGAAGGGCAGAGGGAAATGGGTACATCATAGATGGCAACAGAACTCAGCAATTTCAACTGGGGGCAGAATCAAGAATTAAGCTTGCCAGACACTTTCTGATTCTGGTCAGTACATGTGTCAGAGTTGTTAAATCGTATGTCGTTTAAAGCTTCAAGAAAACAAACCTCATTCCTCCAAGAAAATAAAGTCTTCCTATTCTAATAAGCTGGATAAAATAAGCTTTTTGAATTCATCTCACTGCACTAAATCAGTGAACATTATCCTAGGTATTCTGTCTGAGCCTTTGCTTCATAAATATTTTATACATAACAGTTTAATTATAAGATCATTTCTTTTGTTAAGCTACAAACCCAGGCTCAACTTATGCTGACTTTCTCCCACAAGGAGACCCAACAGCTTGCACTGTGCTTATTTTGTGTTTTTCTTTCTGGTCACAGGTGAGAAGTTGCGAGTCCTGGGTTACAACCAGAACGGTGAATGGAGTGAGGTACGTTCGAAGAATGGGCAGGGCTGGGTACCAAGCAACTACATCACTCCAGTGAACAGCCTGGAGAAGCACTCGTGGTACCACGGGCCGGTGTCCCGCAGTGCAGCAGAGTATCTGCTCAGCAGCCTCATCAACGGCAGCTTCCTGGTCCGGGAAAGCGAGAGCAGCCCAGGGCAGCTGTCCATCTCGCTCAGGTACGAAGGACGTGTTTACCACTACAGGATCAACACCACCTCGGATGGCAAGGTGAGGACCTCTGGGGAGAGGAGATGAGGAGAGCATCTTGCAGAACCAGTGTTAGTATAAAAGAAAATGTGTGCCAAGGGTTTGGTGGTGACGCCCCAAAAAGCGCCTTGGAAGAAGTGCAGACTGCTGAAAGTAGCTGGGTAGCAAGGCAGCTGTGGTTGGAGGTGGGGGTAGCCTCCCACTGATCCCCTTAGAAGCAGCAGAGCTTTGATAAGTCAGCATTTTTAACCAAGATGAAGTAGTGGCATGTTGTGTTGAGAGACCTGAGAATTCCAGTCCTGTAAAGCACAAGGCAGGAGACATTTAATCGTCACAAGAACTGACACAGCTCTTAAGTGATGGCTTATATGTAGTTGCCTTCTGCAGGTAAAAATCCCACAGATTAATAGTTATTTGCCCAACAAGAACAGAACAAATATGCTAAAATCCTGGTTTTCTGATTTTTTAAAAGGACATCAGAACATTTGTACCTGTTTTCCAACGTTACTGAAAACTTCCAGCTGCCTTCATTCAAGCAGATTCCTGTTTCTTGCTTGACAGGTCTATGTGACAGCAGAAAGCCGTTTCAGCACCCTGGCAGAGCTGGTGCACCATCACTCCACGGTGGCAGATGGGCTGGTGACAACTCTGCATTACCCAGCACCCAAGTGCAATAAGCCCACCGTGTACGGGGTGTCCCCCATCCATGACAAGTGGGAGATGGAGCGCACCGACATCACCATGAAGCACAAGCTTGGGGGAGGGCAGTATGGAGAGGTCTACGTGGGGGTCTGGAAGAAATACAACCTCACAGTGGCTGTGAAAACGTTAAAGGTGAGTTTTCAGATTCTGGGCACTGTTCATTTGGTCACTATTTATGACAGGAGTGAGGAAATTGTAATGTTCTCAACTACACCTCATGATACTAACATCCTAAAATGGAGTGTGCTGATCTGCATAAAATCCGTGTTTGGGAGTAGCTTTGCAGATCAAAGTGACCCTATCAAACTTACACCAGTGCACGTGGCTTAGAAACAAACTGGAATTTTGGCCCAGCAGGAACTGCATGTCCAAGTCAGACCAATAGAAATGCTTTCAAACCCAACTTCCCTTCTTCCAGAGGAGCTGTGGAGGCTTTAAAAAGTCAAAGATGTAGAAAATATCTTCTATAAGCTGTCCTCCACTCCTGAAAAAATTCAGCTTCTCCATTTCTCTTCCATTTCAAAACATGTTGGTTTTTTTCAACATTAACAACTGCAATTCTAAGTAGCCCCTGAATAAGTTAATTTTTATAGCTATACAGGGGAACTAAGTCAGTAATCTTGAGAATCTTCCTCTCACCAGCCACAACACAAGCAAGCCTGGTCCTGCCAGGGTACTGCAGATCATCTGCAGGACAGCCAGGCAGCTGTTCAGGGCTGGTACAGTTTGCTTTGGTAAAAACCAAAACAGCAGAATGGAGGCAAAGATGTTTAATATTAATAATATAATAACATTAATATTCAGCCAGGATGTGTGGAGTTAACCAGACCTTGGTCATGAAGATAAATGTTCCCTTCTTTTGCCTCTTTGTCTATCTAGGAAGATACCATGGAGGTAGAAGAGTTCTTGAAAGAAGCTGCTGTGATGAAGGAAATCAAGCACCCAAATCTAGTGCAGTTGTTAGGTGAGTGAAATGCCTTGCTCTTTGTGTTCTTACTTAGTCTTCATCTTGGTAGAAACTTGCCTGGTTTAAATGCAGTGGCAGCTTTTCTGTATTTATATAACTTTATGAATCCTGCCAGGGTACTGCAGATCATCTGCAGGACAGCCAGGCAGCTGTTCAGGGCTGGTACAGTTTGCTTTGCTAAAAACCAAAACAGCAGAATGGAGACAAAGATGCCATCATTAATATTCAGCCAGGATGTGTGGAGTTAACCAGACCTTGGTCATGAAGATAAATGTTCCCTTCTTTTGCCTCTTTGTCTATCTAGGAAGATACCATGGAGGTAGAAGAGTTCTTGAAAGAAGCTGCTGTAATGAAGGAGATCAAGCACCCAAATCTAGTGCAGTTGTTAGGTGAGTGAAATGCCTTGCTCTTTGTGTTCTTACTTAGTCTTCATCTTGGTAGAAACTTGCCTGGTTTAAATGCAGTGGCAGCTTTTCTGTATTTATATAACTTTATGAATCAGGTCAGGTTATGGGGTGCTATTTTTGACAGCTTTATGTAATACTAGAGCTAAGAGACACTAATTTTAAATAAAACATCAAATACAGTCACTTACATTAGTAGACAACTTTGCTGTTGAGGCACGACTGTTACATAAAAGTTTGTAATATCATCCTCCTGCTGGTTTGTGTCCTTGGCCTTAAACATGCTCCAGGGTTCAGTGATCAGGTTCAGATTCCTTCTCTGCTCTCTTAAATCAGAGTTACAAAATAATTTTCCATGGCTTATTTTTCTGAGAGAACATGAAAAAATTATAAGAAAATTCAAAGTGAAAGGAGAAATTCTCTTGGAAGCGCAACAAATGCCATTCTCCATACTTCTCAAATCAGAGACATTTACAGAAAAGGCTGCATTGGAAAGAACAAATTAGGCCACGATTAGGCAGAAGACACCAGATTGCTGCTGCTGTAAGGAACTCTGTGTATCACCAAATAAGTACATGAGATCAAACAACTCAGGACTGGGAAAAATCCACAGGCTTTACATTGTGACTCTGCCCTGTTGTCTCACTGGCAGATGCATGATATGATGATCATTATTAAATAGTTTGCATAGCTCTTAAATCTACATGCATAAAGATTCTTAAGGAGACATGCTAAACCTTTACTAGTGTTTAATTGCCTCTGGATTTCTGGCAGTTTCAGAAGTAGAGCTGTCAAGCCAAGCCTAGGATGAAAGGAGAAATGTGAAGAATGTGAAGGCTTTTACTAATTACAGAACAGTTTCTGTACCCACTTTAAAAAAAGGGCACAGATGAAGTGTGTGCCAGCACTGTCTGGTTCCAGGAGCAGCAGCTCCGAGTTTTGTCATCAGAGAGCTGCATTTTTGCTCTTTCTGATGCACAGTGCTTTACTCCTGAATGTGTAAAGAGCTGCGGGGGGGATCCCAGAGCTGTGACAAGAGTATCCTGTTGCACTCCTCCTCCGCCTTTACATGCTTTGTACAGTGACTGTAGCAAGGAGTCATCCCAGGAATGTGTGAGAATGCTGCTCTAGGAGCAGCTCCCACCGTGCTGATTCCTTACCCAGCACATGGGAGTGCCTCACATCACTCTGCAGTGACATTTCAGTCTGGAAATCTTGCCAGCTGACAGGTACATGCTTCCTTCCAGTTGGCCACTCTTCAGCTTTATGAAGGCAGAGAGGGTAAGAAAAGCAAACTGTGTGTTCATAATTCCACTTTTTTCATTCTGTAACCTTTCAAAGAACAGGACTACTGCTTCATGAATATTAGATAGGAATAGAGATGCTTTCATAGACATGTTTCTCTCTATCCATAAAGTGGATGGAGAGAAAAACAGACAGAAGCCCTGAGTCTGGGCTGCACTGACCTGGGTCTTGTCCATGGAAGTCTTCACTTTCCCAGAGGAATACCCAGCAGTACAAAACACAATGAGTGGCTGTTAAATCAGGAACAGTGGTGAGAAAGGGAAGCTTTATTCACTGCTGCCTGCTGCTCCCTGCAGGTGTGTGCACCCTGGAGCCCCCGTTTTACATCGTGACAGAGTACATGCCCTATGGGAACCTGCTGGACTACCTGCGCGAGTGCAACCGCGAGGAGGTCAGCGCCGTCGTGCTGCTCTACATGGCCACCCAGATCTCCTCTGCCATGGAGTACCTGGAGAAGAAGAACTTCATCCACAGGTGGGTCAAGTCATTTTTGAGCTGGTACAGTTTCAGATTGCAGTGATAAACAGGCCACCAGTTGGAGTACCTGGAGAAGAAGAACTTCATCCACAGGTGGGTCAAGTCATCTTGAGCTGGTACAGTTTCAGATTGCAATGATAAACAGGCCACCAGAATGATGGGCTGGGAATTGCAGCTTTTGGGGAGGTTTCTGCCACAGTTGGGATTCACACTGGCTGTGTTTGCTTCAGTACTGTCTTGCAATAGCTTTTCCCCAGGACTTTCATAGCAATCTTGTGCCCATCTGGCTGGCAACACCTGTGTGCAGACATTGCCCACCCAAAGTCCTGTTCAAATGCAGATAAAGCCATGCCATAAACCTGTTACCGAGTGTTATGAGCTGCTGATCCCATTCTATCCTCAGGAAATATAAACTTGGCACTGTAACAGCCACCATTACTGAAAACTTAATAGAATTTAAAAAGTTAATCCTTATCCAGATTTACCTTATTGCTCCTAAGAATAAGACCACTCAGTTTCTGACACTGTTCAGGACAAAGCTCACCTTGCTTCTACCTGCTGCATACAGAGAGCACTTCCTGATCCAGGGAGCAGGGCCCCAAAACTGCATTCAGAAGCCCTGCTCCTGCTGCAGTGGTGTCCTTGTTCCTTTGTACAGGGACCTGGCAGCACGGAACTGCTTAGTTGGAGAAAACCACGTGGTGAAGGTGGCTGACTTTGGCTTGAGTCGACTCATGACTGGTGATACCTACACAGCCCATGCTGGGGCCAAGTTCCCAATCAAATGGACAGCTCCCGAGAGCCTGGCCTACAACACCTTTTCAATCAAATCAGATGTGTGGGGTAAGAAAACTCACCTTCACTGTCCTTTTCTTGTTCATTTTGGTTTTTTCTGCCAGCCCAGACAACAGCTTGCTTTCTGGCCTGGGCAGAAACCCTTGTGAAGAGAATCACATGCCAGGGCAGAACTTCATGAATCAATAACATCTTTAGCATGTGATATCTCCACGTAGACTGACCTGGAATACCTGCAAGGAAACAATGCTGTCTCAAGCTGCAATGAAGGCCACAGAATAATGAACAGACTTCTGACCAGCAATTTTGTTTTCCTCCTTTTGCAGCCTTTGGGGTGCTGTTATGGGAAATTGCTACCTATGGGATGTCACCATACCCAGGCATTGACCTCTCTCAGGTGTATGATCTGCTGGAAAAGGGCTATCGGATGGAGCAGCCAGAGGGGTGCCCTCCCAAGGTCTATGAACTGATGAGGGCATGTGAGTATCTTCTTCCAGTTTTGGGGACAAAACCTGGGAAGGTGGGAGGAATCTGTAATTAACAGCAATACTTAATCCTCAGCTTGTCAAAGTGAGGGTGGGCTTCAGTTATGACACAAAGAAGGTGGGGAATGATGAAGGATATTACTGCTTAAAAAACCTCAAGGAAGCTGACAAAAGCCCAAAAGCTGGGGATTCCTATGATCATAATGCAAAACAAGCAGAATGCCAGTCACTTTCCAGACCCTGTGGTGATACCAGCAGACAGTGCTTCCAGAATACATTCTTCTGGTGCAGATTTCTAACTGCAGAAATTACACTTTCCATCATGATATTCTTCTGTAACTTCCCAAGCTCCATCTAGGATCAAGGCACTCTCCTCCTCTTTCCCCCAGAGGGTCCACACATCCTGCTTTTGGAAGGGTCTGCCTGAAATATTAAGAGCATGGGAACAGGATGGTGCCTGAAGCTTTGCACACCCAGTTATCTGTGATTGGGCTAGATGTGTTCAGTCCAAGCAGCCAGGGTAGCAAATATGGAAATCTCCTTTGCCCAAGCAATTCAGAAAGGGGGACAGGGAGATCAGGAAAACCTGTAGAGGTGGCAGAGAGCTGGGATGTCTAGACTTGGTTCCTTCTTCTCATGATTTGTTTGTGAGGGTACAGTAGGGTACTAACTGCTGCCATGAATCAGTGCCTGTGGATGGCTCTAAAGCCTGTTTAACAGTGGGTCAGAGTGTGACTACTTTCTGTCTCCTTGGACAGAAGAAAAATTCATCTCCCTGTTTCAGGCACTGAGATTCACTCTGCTTTCTGGCATTGCAGGCTGGAAGTGGAACCCACCAGACCGACCTTCCTTTGCTGAGACCCACCAGGCTTTTGAAACCATGTTCCATGACTCGAGCATCTCAGAGGGTGAGAGCTGCTGTTGTTTTCTTCCTGAAACAGCACTGGAGGTTATCCCCAGAGTGCTGTGTCTCATGGATGGGCCCTTAAGGCTCTTCTGCTGGCAGTTGGGTTGAAGTGGAGCTCCATCTCTTATTATTTTAGCCATAATTGGGATATATATGTTTTCTTACATGTTTCACAAATACTGAATAAACTTCAGCCATATTCCGGTGCAGGGAACAATATAATTTCATTTGAGCAGTAAATGCCAAAGAGCTGATTTGAAGAATATTATCTCTTCTGTCAGAGGAAATTTCTTGTTTTCCAGGCTGAAGAGTGAGGAATGGTAAGTGATAGAGAGAGAGAGAAGGATGTATGCATATCACAGTCCCTTGCTGACTGCAGCAATTAGGTCATGAAATATTATTCTACCAGCCTCCACTTTTAACAAAGTGTGTTTTAATCTCTGGATTTTCTGCTTAGCTACTTCTAGGAGCAAATCTGTGCAGCTCAAGTCTGAAATATAATCTACCAGGAGGTAAATAGTGGTGAGGAATGTGATACTATTCAGCAGACAAGCAGAAATGTCAGAGCATTCTGCTCAATTTTTAAATTAAATATGCAACTGATCCATCAACTTCTCTACTACAGGTGGAATTTTACCAGTGAGGATCTGTAATAGACACATCCAGTGGCCACACAAATGCCAAGCTGGGTGTGGCCAGGAGGTTGTAGGGTTTCTCCCCTTTGTTTTCTTTTTCTTTTTGTTGACCTATTGTTGGCATGTAATTTTCATTTCTTCATCTAGGAGGATGCAGTGCTTTGCCACAAGCAAAGCAGCTTAGATCCAGATCCAGGGAGGACACAGCTTCGGGGGTGCATCAGTAGGAGGCACCTTGATTAAAGCCAGGCAAATGCATCCAGTGCTGCCTTTAGCTCTTGAGCAGCCTTTAACAGACCCCTTGTACAAATGCCACAATTGCTTTTTTATTTTTTGGCTGAACTTATAAAGATGTAAATGAGTTTGAAATTATTAGGAAAAACATCTGACCCTGAATACCTCTAGACTTGAACAAAGACTAAATCCATAAATTATGTATATCTCAGTCATGGATCTCTTCCTGCCAGTCTGTGTTTGCAGGAAAGACCCAGGTTGGTTTTTTTTATCTCTTCCTTTGCTGGTCTGTGTTTTGACTATTCCCTTTTTTCCTTACAGAGGTAGCAGAGGAGCTTGGAAGAACAGCCTCGTCCTCATCCGTCGTTCCTTACCTGCCCCGCCTCCCCATGCTCCCCTCCAAGACAAGAACCCTGAAGAAACAGGCAGAGAACAAGGAGAACATCGAGGGGACCCAGGACACTGTGGAGCACTCAGCATCCAGCTCAGCACCAGGTGTGGGCACAGGGTGTAAATCCCCAGAGAAACAAAGAACAACGTGACACGGGCATGCTTTGTGCTGCTGTGTGAATTGTTTACTAGCAAATAGAAAACACTGTAGTTTTTTCAATGTTCTTTTAGTAAATCCCATTGTATTTTTTCTTTCAAATTCAGTTTTGCTGCTCTTTTTTAAGTGACAGCTTCAAAACTAAAATTAACAATGCAGCAAGAGATTTCCTCCTATACTTAGGGTATTTGGAAAGGAGCAGAAGATTATGGGAAGGGAGCAATAAACTGAAAGAAAAGAGCAATTCTTTTCTGATCTCTCTCCAAAGTAGCCTTCTCAGTATAGGCAACAGACAAGTCACATACAGAAATGGAAAAAAGTAAAGAAAAAATAAAATAGAAGTGCTTGCTTCTTCCCTCCCTCTCTCTGCAGCACCTGGGCAGGTAAATACAGCAGGCCTATAAAACCCAGTGCAGGACAGGGAGGTAGAAATGGAAATGGATTGTCCAGACTGACACCTGTCTCTCCTGCCCAGGTTTCATCAGAAGCACACAGCCCACAGGCGGGTCCCCCGCGCTGCCCCGCAAGCAGAGGGACAAGAGCCCCAGCAGCCTCCTGGAGGATGCCAAAGAGACCACGTTCACCAGGGACAGGAAAGGGGGCTTCTTCAGCTCCTTCATGAAGAAGAGGAACGCTCCCACGCCTCCCAAGCGCAGCAGCTCCTTCCGGGAGATGGAGAACCAGCCCCATAAGAAATACGAGCTGACGGGTAACTTTTCCTCTGTGGCTTCCTTGCAGCACGTGGACGGGTTCCCCTTTGCTCCCGCCCAGCAGGACACCAGCCTGGCACCCCCCAAGTGCTACGGAGGGGGCTTTGTGCAGAGGACCTTCTACGGCGAGGAGGGCACTGGGCCCAGCAGTGCTGGGGCTGTGAGCACTGGTGGAGGGTGGTCGGGCATCACTGGCTTCTTCACGCCACGCTTGATTAAAAAGACGCTGGGTTTACGAGCAGGAAAACCCGCTGGCAATGAAGAAGCTTCAAAGCCTTTTCCAAGGTCAAACTCTACATCTTCCATGTCCTCAGGGCTTCCAGAGCAGGATAGGATGGCAATGACCCTTCCCAGAAATTCCCAGAGGTCAAAAATTCAGCTGGAACGGACTGTGTCCACCTCCTCCCAGCCCGATGAGAGCACAGAGAGGGCCAGTGACCTGATTCCCAAAAGGTTTGAAGAAGGCCCTGCTTTGACCAGAGAGAGACCAAAAGCAAAACTCTTGCCAAGGGGTGCCACAGCACTCCCTTTTCGAACTCCCTCCACGTCAGAAGAAAAGGAGGGTCCAGGGCTAGTGGCAGCTCCTAAGGGCAAGGAAAAAAACAGTGGCCCACGACAAGGGGCCCTTGAGGATGGCGAGAGGCCGGGGTGGTCATCTCCAGTAAAGGCTGCAGCAATACTTCCAACCACTCATAACCACAAAGTGCCAGTCCTAATCTCACCCACTCTAAAACACACTCCAGCAGACGTGCAGCTCATTGGCACAGACTCTCAGGGTAATAAATTTAAGCTCTTATCTGAGCATCAGGTCACTTCTTCCGGCGACAGGGACCGGCCCAGACGGGTAAAACCAAAGTGTGCTCCACCTCCACCACCGGTGATGCGGCTCCTCCAGCAGCCAGCTGCCTGCTCGGACACAGCAGAAGAGCTGAGCAGCGTGGCGGGAGCGCAGCACGGACTGGAATCCAACGAAGGCAGTAAGAAGGCAGCAGCAGCAGCACCTGTTGGTGGAAAATCTGGGAGGCCCGTGATGCCTCCGCCCCAAGTGCCTCTGTCATCGTCTTCCACCTCCCCGGTGAAAATGGCCAACGGCACGGCCAAGGTGGCGCTGAGAAAGACCAAGCAGGCGGCTGAGAAAATCCCCGCAGACAAGATCAGCAAGGAGGCGCTGCTGGAGTGCGCCGATCTCCTGTCCAGCGCCATCGCCGAGCCCACGCCCAACAGCCAGCTGGTGGACACGGGGCACCAGCTGCTGGATTACTGCTCAGGCTACGTGGACTGCATCCCCCACACGCGCAACAAATTCGCCTTCCGGGAAGCCGTGAGCAAACTGGAACTCAGCCTGCAGGAGCTGCAGGTGTCCTCGACAGCTGCTGGCGTCCATGGGGCGAACCCCGTCCTTAATAACTTATTGTCATGTGTCCAAGAAATCAGTGATGTGGTGCAAAGGTAGCTACTGTCAATCTGGGTAAGAGAAACACACACGGGGAGGGCGGGACTGTTTTTCTGTACTGATGCTTTCAAAAGGAAAGACTGATACTTGAGTATGTGAAGTACCTCAGATCACTGAGTTCTCCTCACGTTTACAGGTTCATCTCAAAAAGCTGGGGATGGAGAGGGTAGATTAAAGCTGTAAGGGGCAGAACATCAAGGATCTGTCCCTACCTAGTCAGGCTGATCTGCTTGGTATGGCAAGGGAAAAAGAAAGTTCCCTCTCCTCCCCTGGAGAGGCAGGAGAACCGAAGGCAGGTTCTCCCTCTGGGCAGGATGGTGGTGACAGCTGGAGCCCTAGGGTGGCTGCAGCTGCCTGGCTGCACAGATCCCACCCTGGCTGCACTCACCTGTGCTTTGCTGTCCTGACAGGGCCAAGGAAAGGCACTGGGGCTCTGCTGTACCAAGGGCAGAGCAGCCGGAGCAGCTCCAGAGGGGGTCATGTACAGCTGGGGGAAAGGTCTAATGCACTGACAGTATTCAGAGCTGCTGGAGGTGGATGCACTGGTCTGGATGGCTTAACTTCCACAGCACTGTTGCTGCTGTAATGAGAACTGCAAGATTAGTTAATATATGAAACTGTCCCTTTTCCCTCCTGTCCACCTCATCCACCACATTCTCATTGTCATTGTATTGGAAGTGTCAGGGATGCTGGGCAGACTTACCACTGGAATTCCCCCTTCCCACCACACTGCCTTCACTCAGCTGATACCTATTTCTAGTGGTCTAGCACAGGTGCTGCTTGATGGTCATTTTTGAGTAGTTTGGGGCTCTTGCACAACTTGCCAGTGTTGTTGTTGGGGTGGGTGGGTTCTTGCTTTTTTTAAGCTCTAGATTGTTTTTAACTTGTTACCAGGTTGACTCCCTAGTTCAGTGTGATCACCATGAGGACCCATGGTAGGTAAGGCAGAGCCTCTGCCCCCCTGGCTGTTCTCCACATTCCTTTAGCAGTCACAGCACTGCAGGGCCAGCTGGAGAACCAGAAAGTACAGCCCAGCCTGCCCACCACTTGTCCTCACTGCTGCAGGATTCCTTGCACCTGTCCCTAACCCTTCACACCCAGATTCCTGGGATTTGTTCTGGTGTTTACCTGTCTCACAGGCTTCCAGCTGCTCTGCATCTCAAGGTGATGAAGTATGGCAGCACACAGGAAACACCACAGGCATCTCCATGCATTTGTTCCCATTTTAAAGGCCAGACCAGAATCCTGCACTGTGGTGTAGGGAACGTGCACATAACCTGTGCACTGGTGCCAACAAAAGCTGTGGCTCTGCCTTGAAGGGCTGCCAGTGGGTCTCTAATGCCTTCTAATAACCCCAGAATAAGCAGCTGAGTGGTTGGCATTGTCATCCTTGGTCCTTGTGCTGTTTGCAGGCTGTTGTGGCCTCAAAAAGCTGATCTGTCTATGCACAGCTCCCCAGGGTGTAAATGTACTGGCAAATAGGAAGAGCTCAGTTGCTGGCTTGTGAGAGGAACAGAAACAGACCTGAAACCTGGCTCCAAATACACCTTACCTGCACGCTGCTGCTCACTTCACACTGCTGGTGGTAGAGGATCTCACTTGCTTTGCACCTTAAGCCTTTATTTTTTTTTGGCTAAAATGCTTTCTAAATTTGTTTTTCAAGTGTGGCTGTGCTGCTTTTAGTCTGAGCATTTCGAGTGGAGCTGTGGCATGGGTGTGACTTTGGAAGATGGGCACCTTGTTTCTGTCTAGAAGCACGTGGTGGTGCTTGGAAGCAGGCTGGGTGTCAGCAAGTGTCCCTGTCTTTTCCACAGAGCATAGCTAGACAGGCCTGGAAAATCTTTAGAAATGGGCTGAGAATCCTCATTTCATTACTGGTCTGAGCTAAGCAAAGTTCTTTCAGGGTGTGTGGAGGCACAGCAGAGGAGCAGCATGTGAGGTGCAATGGACCATGAGCTTCTGTGGCCCAGTAAGTGAAGGCTGGGGGGGAAAAGAACCAAGCAACCCCTTGTGCTGGCAAGTCCTGATCCCCTGCAACCCTGGGGCTGTCCCAAGGCTCTTCCACAGGCAGAGTACCAACCCCTTATCTCCTAGACTCTAAATTCCTAGACTTTACTGAGGGCTTTTGTGGTTTACCTTATCTCTGTCAGTCATCCTCATGGAAGGTGTGCATCCACACTGACTGCCTTTGGACAGGTGACCTGCCAAGGAAGGTGGCTTGTGGCATTGCTTCACATGGCCTGTCTAACAATCAGGAGGATTTAGAAGGTGGGGGCTCTCTTTTCTTCAGGGCAGAAGGGCAGGTCTTGCTTACCCTGGCAGACCATCACATGGTTCCATGATTGTACTGCTACTCAGCCTGGGACAAATGGGCTGGAACTGAAGGAATTCCAGGGAAAAGGAATTTTAACAGAACATTTTTAAGTTTAGCCCAATTCTGATGAGCATTTTGAAAGAAACCTTTTTTTTTCCCCCTAAATGCCAGTCTTCCAGAAAAGCTACAGCAAAAGTGGTAGAATAGCAATATGGAATTTCTAACTACTAGAACTCCCCTCCTTTCAGAAGAAAGGAGCTGTGTCCCAGTGAACACTGTGGGCCATCCCCACTTCCTTTCAGGTGCCACATTTTCTCCTTGCCCCTGCAGCAGAGATGGGCAGTGGGACAGGGCAGCATCCAGCTGCTTTTCCAGAGCCACAGAATGGCTGAGGTTGGAGGGAACTTTGGAGGTCACCTGGTGCAAGCACTCCTGCCAAGCAGGTCCACCAAGAGTTGCCTGTGAGGACCACGTCCAGGCAGCTTTTGGGCATCTCCAAGCACAGAGACTCTGCAGCCCTGGGCCCAGCACAGGAGTGTTTAGTTCTGACCCCTCCTGTGGAGCAAAAACAAGGGCCAGTGCATTTGGGGATTTGCCTGTTGCCACTCTCATGGGAAGTGTTTTCTCTGCCCTTACATCTAACATCAGGTAGGCAGATTGTGGCAGAGGTAGTGCTGACTGGACAGGTTTTTTCCCCCCTAAATTGAAGGCTGTGGAATTGCTGGGACTTCTGCTGCCCTAGAGTGTTTTATTCCCAAACTGCAATGTTCTCCTGTCCTCTGGCAGGATAGCAAAAGGAATCTGGGAAAGCTGGTTCTGCTGTAAGTTACCATCCAGTTATCCTTCTTCCACTGCTGCTTCTAAAGCTTTTACCATTCCCTCTCCCTTTAGCTAGTCTGCCTTTCTCTTCAGCCTTAAAGCTCTCCACTGTGGCCTGGTCTCTGTTCTCAGCCTGGCACCAGATGTGCAAAGGAATGTGTGGGTGCTGACACCCCATTGTTTGTCCCAGTGCAGAGCACTTCCAGCTCCATGGTTTGGGGCAGGGGACAAGGCAGAAGTGCTGTTGTTTCTTCTCCTCAGCACTGTCAGACAGCTGTGGGGGCACAGCTGGAGCTGGGCTCTCTCTTGCACTGCTGTGGGCCAGAATCCAAAGCAGTTGTCTTTGCCATGGGGAAGGTACCATGGCCTGGCACTGCCAAGCACAAAGCACACAGTGAGCTCAGGGGGGCACTTTCTCTTCCTGCCCCTGTGGGAATGAGCTGACTCACAGGTGCAATTCTCCCTTCTTCCTGCACTGTACACCCTTCCTAACCCCAGAGTGGTGCACTTGATTTAGTTGTGTTCTTCATTAGTGTGGGCAGGGGGAAGCTGAGCTGAGTCTGGGTCTTGGGGCTGCACCAAGTTCAGCCAGTGGGAAAGGGGGATGGAAGGGAGCAGCCTTGCTGATGCAGAACACAGCAGGGAGGGACAGAGGAGGCTGTGCTTGTCCTCATCAGGACTGTCTCCTGGGTGCCACTGGCCCTGTGTGTGTGAGACACAGCCAAACACGAGTGGTGACATCTGTCAGGGTGCTTTGGGGGCACAGGGAGCCAAAGCCCCCGTGGAGACAGAGCAGCCCCTCCCCAGCAGGCAGAGGTGTGGGTGGGCTGCACTGCAATCCCAACCCTGTGTCCTACCACTCACCTGAGGCAGGCTTTTCCTCCGGGGCATCCACAGCACTGACAGGCACCAGTGACTCCACAGGGTGTGGTGCCACAGCCAGCAGGCTGCTGCCTTCTCTGTGACACTCAGCTCGGCCCTGCTGCTCACCAGGAGCTGGCAGGGACTCTGAGGGGAGCTGCTGGGGTGGTGCTGCACATCCCTGGAGCGTGGAAGCAAACCCTGAGCCCATGCTCTGGCAGCAGCCACAGGAGGCTCTGGGACAGGGAGTTGTTTCTCCAGCTCCAGGCTAAGCAATGTCTGTACCAAAGGAGCTCGTTCTTCCCCAGGGAGGTGGTGGAGCCTGCTCGGCTCACATGGCACTGTTTGTGTTGCTAGTGAGGGCAGCAATGGATTGAAATGAATCACGTTAATCACCAATCACTCTTAGCAGTGTTGTCAACTGTTTTTGTTTTTTAATTGTTACTGTAATATATTTTGGTTGTTTTTCTAATTTAATTCTCTCACTATCGTCTGACTGTGAACTGCGAACAGTGTTAAACTTGATGTAAATAAGGCCCTTGGAAGGGCCTCTTTGCCTGTCGTTCCACAAAGTTTTGCCAATTTGCATTTTGTTTTAAATAAAGGTTGCAATATTTTATTGGCAAAAACCACTCAAGTAGATGTTGGGTATTTTTTTCCTCCTTAATGAATATTTGAAGCTGCTGAGTCCTAACCAGAAGCTCTTTCATTTGGGTAGAAAAAATTGTTAAAAAGAGAAATAATTTAATTCCACCAGGTTGCAGAAAAAGCAGTATCTTTATTTATGCAGTATCTATTTAGAACCAAACTTGCCCTGGCATGGTCAGAGAGCAGCTGTTGCTGTTGTGGGCTGATCAGAGCTCACCCAGGTGTGACACACACACTGGTGAGCCAGCAGAGCACAGCTCTGGCCTCGCCCTTGTCAGTGTCACCACCTCAGCCACAGCTGCTCCCCTGCCCACCTCAAACCCAAAGTCCCCCAGCGACCTCCTGCCACCCAGCCTGTGCCAGCCCAACCCAGCTGAACACTTCTTGTCATTCAGAAAAGCCCCCAGGTGCTCCTGGCTTACACACAGAGCCTTTTGGCTCCTACCCTTCAGCACACAGCTTGCCTAACTTTGTGCCCAGGTGCCCAAACACACCCTGAGCTGTGTCCTGGGAGGCAGCCCCAGCTGGAGCCATCACCCCCACGGGGATTAACCATAAACCAGGTCTCAGGAATGCCTGATGAGCCACGCTGGCACAGCTCCAAGGTCCATTCCACACGGCTGGGTTAAGCCACCTGCACTGGCTGAGCAGTGGGAGAGCAGCTGCCTCATCTCTGCTGGGACCCAAAGTCTGCAGGGCTCAGATGTGTCTGCCTGGTCAATCTTTGCCAGAGGTCACACTGCTCATCACTGGCACTGCAAAATGGGTCAGAGCTTAAAATAGAGCAAAGGTCCCCGTGGGGGTGGCTGGGAAGCCAAGCCCTGTCCTCGGCAGGGGCTGTTTCACTGCTCGCCAGCTCAGCCCTGTTGGAAGGGAGTTTTGACCCGGAGGTCACAGAGTGATTCCTGTAACACTGATGAAATTTGTTGGAGCTGCTGCAACACACTTATCACCTGGCGAGTGCCCAGACAGCAAACAACCCCTTGCAATAATAATAATAATAATAATAACAATAATGCTGATGCCAGCCAAAAAGCCACAGCAGGAAATGTACTGAAGAGAAAAACAAAAAAAAGGAAGGAAAAAACCCAAGCTTTTACTGCATCCATAAAAACTCACATTCAGCTGCAGCCTGATGCTTCAGCCACCATCCTCCTCACCTGCCCTTGGATAGAGGAGCTCTCCCTGTTTTGGTTCTGCAGTGAAGGAAACGGGCTCTGCACCAACCTGCTCAGTAAAATAATTGCAGCAGAAGTTCCCCTCAGCCCGCCAGCTGCTTCCATACAACGGAAGACTCCAGGGAGAGGTGGACACTCCAAGGTGAGAGCTATGGATTTGCCATCTCCAGAGGAGATTATTCAGTCCTTTTCTCCCTGCACAGACTACAGTCCTGGCACCTGTGTCCCTGAGCAGCAGCCACCTCAGAAAGGCAAGGGAGCAACAGAGGGGAAAACCTCAACTCCAGCAGAGCAGTTCTGTGTAGTCTTGTAAAATGACAGAGAAAATTTGGGATGGGGATGTGGCTTTGGCCACACTGTCTCAACAGAACCAGCCTGTCCAAGGCCTCCCTTCACCACACATCAACAAAACAAGGACTTGGACATTCCCAGTCCCCACTCACATGGAACAGCATCTGCCAGCAGAACCACATCACCCCTCCAGCTAAAAGAAGGGACTTAGAGCACCAGACAGGCTCCAAAAGCAGCCAAGCACAGGCTGTCCCTACCTGCCAGGAGTAAGGGATGCTGCTCCTTCCCTGCAACAGCTCTGGGAGTAACAGCGCTTAAGTCTCTGTTAAGTCCCTGTGCAAGTGCCTGGCTGGCTCATCTGCCTCTGCCCCTGTGTGAAGGGAGCAGCTCCCGGAGTGCAGAACACCTTCAGCACACGGCTGGTCCCCCTGGCGTTCAAGGAAGGAAATAATTGATGCGCTGGGGCACGGATTTGCAGCCCTGTGCAGAGAAAAGCTTCTCCTCTTTGGGGACAAACACCATCATCTGGGCCACCTGGTCGAGCGTTGCCTCGGTGTAGGGAAGCCCGCGGGCCAGGAAGGCGTCCCGGGCACAGAGCTTCACGTGGTGATACTCCAGAGGCAGGAAGGGCACCAGGAAATCAATCAGGTTCTCTCTGAGGAGCTGGCTGTGGGCATAACTGTTCTCTGGAGCAGAGCACAAGAAAGGCAAACTCAGAAGCTGCACCTTCAGAGAGCATCATCCCTCAGCGAGGCCAGGCTTGGCTCCGAGGGGCTCATCCAGTGGGACCCACTTGTGCAGAGCTGCTCAGCACTCTGAGCACTGAGCATCTCCAGAAGTCACACCAAGAAGAAGCCCCAGAGAAGCCTCAGTGCTGCCCTGTGAGGTTGAGCTGCCTCTTGCCCCCAGCCATGTTCACGGCTGAAGGGGGCCTGAAGGCACCACGGAGGGGCTCTCACTGCCAAAGCCCCGGGCTGGGGTGGAGTGAGGGCTGGTTCCCCCAGGCACAGCCCTGTGGCACAGGGGCAGCCCTGCCCAGAGCCAGCCCAGCCCTTACCTGCAGGCTCCTGCAGCTCCAGCCGCAGCCGCTGCTCCAGCAGCTCCAGGGAGATCTCCTCCCGTGCCCGGCCCGCTCGCCAGAAGTCCAGGGCCACCTCATTGATGGTGTTGCCACCAAGATTGCTGTGGACACAGAGGCAATTCACTCAAGGTTTCCCCCAGAGCTGAACTGCTGAGGGCTGCCAGCACCTTCCCTGCAGACAGGCCCCAGCAGTTCTGCTGGCAACAGAGGATTTGCTGTCTAGGATCAGCACGTGGAGAGCCAGCCTGCTTCCCAAAGAGCCCCTTTCCACAGGCATCCATGCCAGGGGCAGCAGGATCCTCCATCTCCCTCAGTCCCCAGTCCTGGCTTGGGAAGCCATCAACCCCTCAGGTGACACTTGGCTCCACACCAAACGCTGAACAAGCCACCACAAAGTCCAGGTTAAAGGGCAGAGCACATGGCAGGGGTCCCACTGGAAGTAAAGGTCCAGGGCAGGGATTCAAGTGGCAGCCCAGGACTTGGCACAGCATCCATGGGACAAAGCAGCAACACAGCTCCCACCTAAGGGCTCCTCTGCACACCCATGGGAGCAGCTCTGTGGTGGGGTTTGCAAGGTCCTGGCAGCTGTTGAGGGTCCCAGGACAGCAGGGACCCTCAACAGGTCCAGGAAAGGTGTCCCCCTCCCCAAGTGCTGGTGAGGGGCTTGTCCCCAGCCCCCAGTGCCCCAGTGAATGGGAACCAGCTGGATGCAGAGCTTGTGTGGGTGGGAGCAGGGAGGCACAGAACTGGCATCCCATCCTCATGTCAGAGGCTCTGGACACTGAACAAAAGGCAGGGAAAATCAAAAAGCCACCACTGTATCCCACCATGCCCTCACCCCTTGTCAGGGAGAAAACAGCTTGTAGTGATCCTGCTCCCAACCCAAACTGCCCCTTTTGGCTGGACAGACAGACAGACAGACAGACAGCCCTACGAGGACCGTGCCAGTGTCCACGGAGCCCTGGGGCAGAGCCATCCCTCCTAAAGCAGGTCAGTGTCACACTGCCACCAGGAGTGATGAAACCCCTGCGATGACACAGGGCAGTTCAAGGCACCTGCTCCCCTCTGCTTGCTGACACAGGATCCTTTGCTGGCCTTCCAGCAGGACACCAGGCCAGCCCCGTGCAGCTGCAGCACGTCCAGCCAGGGCAGGACCTGCCCCTGCCACACCAGAGTGTGGGGAGCTCCACAGGCACTGGGCACACAGGCAGGGAAACCTCTCTGAGGGAAGCACCAAGCTTGGAGGTTGGGACACTGATGGTGGGAGGTGGAGGAGGAACAGCTCCTGCCAAGCTCAAGGCTGCAATTCCCAAACTGAGGGGGCTCAAGATGCTGATCTCTCACTCTTTAGGGGCACTTCAGTCAGGTGCCTGCCTCACATCCTGGTTCTGAGATGTCCCATTTCTCCCTCCAGCTGCATCCCACACAGAGACAGTGCTGGGGTGCACTTCCTGGGAAAGGAACCAACTAAAGCAGGCTCTGCTAATGCCAGGATCAGCCTCACAGCACCTCAGTCTGCAGCCACAGTGGGAACTCCCCAGCTCCTAACAATGCATGGGAGCTTCCCACCAGGACCTTCACTCTGCTCCCTGGAGTGTGACATCTGCCCAGCTGAGCAGGGTGACACTGTGTTAACTGACTGGGCTTCCTTGCCTCCAATCTAGACTCTGGCTCAGGTGTCCCAGCTCAGCTGGACCTCAGCTCCTCCTGCAGATGTCCTGTTCCCAGGAAGGATGCCCAGCATCCACAGGTAAAACTGAACATGGAGGCAACCACCAGGAGGGAACGAGGTACCTGTGCCCTCCCCTGCTGCCTCAGCCCCTTGTATCACCCACCTCTGGGGACAAACACCATTACTGGTGACCAGAAATCACCTGAGGAAGAGGAAGATGGATCTCTGCTGATCTGCCTGGCCCTTGCTGTTGTGTTGAGCCATGAAGGGCTTGATGGCATCCAGGAGGCTGGAGTGCAGCTTCTCGGCCTCGTCGAAGATGAGCAGGGCCTGCCTGCAGTGCTGCAGGGTCTCGCTGATCTGCCTCTGCAGCTGGGCCTGGCCAGCAGCAGGGACAGCAGCCAGGGCACAGAACAGGAAAAACAGAGGCAGGACAATGAGTGAGGCGAGATAGATTCATTTAATAAGTGAAGGAAAGAGTAAAGAAAGACATCAAGTGGTGCAAAGGCAGCCACCCACCCTGCCACAGCCAGACTGATGCCCAGCCTGGCTCTGAGCAATAGCTTCCTGCCCCCAAACCCCCTCCCTGCAGCTTTTATTCCTGAGCACGGCAGTGAATGACATGGAATATCCCTTTGGCACCAGGACTCAGCTCTGTGGCTGTGCAAGCACTGCTCAGCAGTAACCAGCCAGTGCTGGGGGATCCAGTTTCACCCACAAACCCAAGGCCCAGCCCCACACAGGCTGCTGGGAAGGACATGAACTCCAGCCCAGCCCAGGGAGCATCCCGTGCTGCTGGCTCTCACCTTGTAGGAGTCCACGTAGTTGTGGTGTGGGAAGTGGAGCAGGGAGACGAACACCCTGACACAGTCACTCCTCAGCCCGTCCCGGTACAGGTGACTGGCCACCATCCGAGCCACAAAGTTCTTCCCTGTGCCAGACCAGCCATGGAAGGACAGCACCAGAGCCCTGCGGGGCCCTGGGCTCTGCAGGAAGCCCTGCACCGCCCGCAGCACCACGGCCTTGGCCAAGTGCTGCCCGTGGAGATGCCCACTGAGGTCTGCCTCCAGCCCTGCAGAGAGACACGAGCACGAGCTCAGCCTCACCTGCCAGCACAGCTACTGCACGTGGGAGTAGGAGGAGAAAACACGGCAGGGCTGCCTGGCCAAGAGGACTGTGAAGTGGCATTAAAGCCACAGGCTGCCTGTGCCCTGCCTACATCAGCCTCTGGCCCCAAAGAGACACAAATCTTCCACTGACTCCTTTTCTCCTTTAGGAAGAGGCAGAGATGCTTGGCAGCTGCAGAGAGCACTGATGCCCCAAGGCCCTCCCAGGCTCCCAGCACAGGGTTTGCATACCAGGAGTCCCAGGGACAGCCAAACACAAAGACACCTCCTCATGGCTTACACACAGGTAAGTGTGCTCTCCCGACCTAGGGCAGGGTCCTGGGCCAGTTTGGATCCCACTGCATGTGCCTGGAAGCTGTGGGATGCAGGCAGGGCTCGTGGCAAGCTGGAGCAGTAAGGAACATGCTGTGCCATAAGGAACAAACTCTGGTCTCAGAACTTCAAATGGGACACAGGACTGAGCTCAGCCTCTCACCCTCCCACAGCTCAGCACCCCACTCAGAAAAAGCCTTTACTAAAATCCCTGTCTAGAATAGACTTTAACAGGAAAAAAGCCTCAAAACAAGCCGCACAAGCAGCACAGCCCCTACCTGTGATGTTGTTGATTATCCTGCAGTCTCCAGTCTCACAGCACCTGCCGAAGCTGCAGTACCAGGCAGAGAGGATCTCCAGGTAATCCTGCCCCACCAGGGGAAAGCCCCAGCCTGGAAACAGGAGCAGAATGAGCGGGGAGGTTCCAGGAAAGGCTTTTTTACATCTCGGGCTCAGCTGAGCCCTGTTAGGGCAATCCTCTCGCGGTGCATGTCCCTGAGGGCAGCCCTGGCTGTGGGGAGGACAGCGGGCTCGGAACCGGCACCAGCTGGCTCCAGACGGCTCCGAGAGCCCGAAAAGTGCAAGAACCTCATCCCGGGGTGTGCCAAGGAGGGAGCCCGGGGCAGGGGCCCTCGGGAAGGAAGGGCAGCGCCACAGGAACCGGGACCTGCTGCTCCCCCGGGCATGGCAGAGAGCAGAGCAAGGCGCTTACCTGGCACGGCCCCGGCCTCCCGCTCTTCTTGCTGCTTCTCCTCCTCCTCGCAGCCCTCCTGCCACACCCTGCACGCCAGGTACTGCCAGTACTGCTTGGAGAGAGCTCCCAGATGCTTCTTCACGGCTTCGTACCTCGCCGTGCCCCACGGTGCCCGCTCCGGGACGGCTCCCGGCTGCTCCGCCCAGGGCGGCCGCGGCGGCGGCGTTGTGCCGGGGCTGCCCGAGCCGCCCAGGAGCAGCAGCAGCACCAGCACAAAGCAGCCGAGCCCGCGGGGCGCCGGGAGCCGGGCCTGGCGCATGGCAGCGGGGAGGGATCCGGGAACGGAGCGGGAAGGGATCCGGGAAGGGAGCGGGCCCGGCCCGGCCGAGCTGAGCTCGCTGCCGAGGCGTTGCCGGGGAGCAGCCGCGGGCGGTGCCAGACGTGGCTTCCCTGTCGCCGTCACAGCCTCGGGGACGCGAGGAAAGCCAGGCCCGGGGGCGGCGGAGGCTCGGCCCCGCCCCGGCCCGGCAGCCCCGGCCGTGAGGGGAAGGCCGGGGAGGCTCCCGGACACCGCCTCCCGCAGCAGCAGCCGGCGCCTCCTGAGGCAAAACCCGGCTTGAAAACAGCCCGGAGGCTCGGCTGAGGCTCTGCAGCCACGGACGCAAGCGGCAGCGGTTCCTCAGTGTCCTTTCAAAGGGGACACTAAAATAAGAGGTGAGGAAATAAAAGCAAGGGAGCAGCAGGGCTGTCCAGGCTGCGTTGGCTGCCTGCTGTCCTGACACCCTGACTGAGCCCAAGGCCAAAGTGCTTTGGAAATGGAAAGGATTTCGAGGTTATCCCACACGCTCAGAGAAATAATGAGGATAATAAATAGAATTAATCCAGCCTGGTCCAGGTGAATGGGAGGGGGATGCAGAGCGCATCACCATCTACAGGTGCCTGCGAGCATTACACAGCAGCATTTCACACCCTGGCACTAACAGAACGGCCCTTCAGCTACAAAAACACTGAGGCCGAAACCTGAACACCACTTGCAACAACTTCAACAGAAATAAAAGTCATGCATTAAAGAAATAAATTAAAAATCAAACTTGCTGTAGCCATAGCAAAATAAACTGCTGTCAGCCTTTCTAAAAACTAGTTGAGGTACCTCAAGCATTTATACAGATTTATAAAAAATATCATAGGTGGAACATTCAAACTTTGCCCACCCAGGATAACTGCTCTAGCTGAAAAGGGCTTATTAAAAGGGACAGATGCTGTAAAAAATAGATGGTTACGTGTTCCAAAGGAAAAAAGAAAATTCTGAAGGATAAACTGACTGTCCAACACTGCACCAGCTCATGGCATAATTCCTGGGATGTCAGCCCTGCCCAAGTGCAGCACACAGTAAGAGCCAGAAGGAAAAGCAGTTCTTTAGGAGGCCCTGGCACAGAGCAGCTGTGGCTGCCCCAGCCCTGGAGGCTTCCAAGGCCAGGCTGGATGGGCCTTGGAGCAGCCTGCTCTGGTGGAAGATGTCCCTGCCCATGGCAGGGGCTTGGAACAGAGTGGTCTTTAAGGTCCCTTCCAACCCCAGTCACTCTGGGGTTCTGTGAAGGGTAGGATAGGAAGCACATGGGGTTTTTCCCTTCCTCTGCTGAAACAGAAGTGCAGTTTGCTGGTCCTGAGGTGAGGCTGGCAGCAGAGGCAGCTGCAGGGAGCTGCACAGCCCTAGAGCTGGTGGGAGGATGCTCAGCTTGCACTCACGGCTGGTCATTGCAGGCAGTCCCTCCTGGTGAGCAGCAACACTCACTGAGGCTCCAGCACCTGGGCTCAGCTCAGCTCAGGAGCCATCTGAAGAGAAAACAGCACCACAAGAAATGGTTAGGCCTGGCTTATTCCACACCCCAATGCAGCTCGGGGCAAACAAACACTCAGAGGGAACCTCACAGTCCAGAATTTCATCCTACAGGCTCTCCAGGGAAATGCCATGCACCCATCTTTTAGGTTTTTCCCCATTTCCATACAGCAATTTCTTCTGCACATCCATCTCTGCACTTTGACAGAAGGCAGGAGGAGAAAAGCCTCTCTCCAGAGCTCAGGTATGGATTAGATCACTAAATAAAAGAAAGATCTAGAATAAAGGGTATGAGAGGAGTCCTTTTCCCTCCTTCCCTTTCCCCCCAACAAAGTCCTATCTATCCCCAGTCTCTTAAAAATATTGAGATTCTACAAAGAACCAATCACCACTCCCACCCTTGGGATATATGAACTAAGAACAACTTTTCCTAATTTTTAGATTCAATAAAAAAATTGTAGGGAAATAATATTTGAGGACTTTAGGGAAAGTGCTTTTTTCAACCCCCTTTTGTTCTCCACTGGCTCAAAGTTGTTTGTGTTCATTCTTTTGTGAAAGTACATTCATTACATAATCAGAAACACTAAAATCTCCCAGTTATACAAATTCTCACTCTGTTACTATGGCAAACCACTCCAAAAATACAGAGCAGCAGCACAACAAAGTGCCTGGAACAACAGCTCTCAAGTGCCAGTTTCTGCCTGTCAGAACTTAAAAGCATCTGTAGCTGTTGAACTGTTCACACACAAGCAGGAATCCTGTCCCGCTCCCTGAGCAAATTGGCACCTCAAAAATAGAGATGGAGGAAAGGAAAAGTTACTGTCAGCACACAATGCTAGGAAACAAAAAACCCCAGAACATCCTCCCCCACAAAACCCTCAAAATAAACCCCAGAAAGCAGTTCTTACAGAATTCAACAATGCTGAAATCTGAAGTTTCAGTGAGAAACTCTAGTTTAAAGAAAAACAGGTTTCACACCACCAGTTGATGCTACAGAGCAGGTCCAAGATTCCTGCATTCAGTACTTCACCTCTGAAACATCCCTGTAAAGCTCTGAAACACTCTCTGAGTGAAGCTCTGCTCTTGGGGGAGCAGTGACCTGCCCACCCCAATAAAGCTCAGAAGGGCAGCCACCCCTCACAGCCCAGCACTCATCCCTGGCTCATGGAACCAGCTCCTGGGACACTGCCAAGGGCTCAGCCCCCGTGCCCAGCAGATGCAGACCACACCTCAGCCGAGGTGTGTTTTATTTCTGCATCCCTTTGGGACACTCCTCCTTCCTTACCTACAGGGCTCTGGCAAACCAGCTGCATTTTTTGGATATACATGACTGGAGTAAAAGCCATTGACAGCCATTAGCAGAGGAGTAACTGGGAGACAGCAGCAGCAAAAACACTTCACACATTCAGCCCACCACATGTTGGAACTCCAGAGAGACAGACAGGGGAGGGAGAGAGAGGCTTAGGCAATCCATCAATGTTGCTTTATTAAAATCTTTATTCACACAATGTTGCTTTATGTGGGATCTGACCCCGGGGGATAGGAGTAGAAAGTCATGATTGCATTCTGTTTGCTTATTAGCAACTCCATTTGTGCAGCAGCTCCCAGGGGCCTCCTCTGGCACATCCGAGAGGGGGGTCTGTTTCCAGCTTCCTGCTCCAGCTGCTGCAGTAAATAAATTACCTTCTTAATAAATTAGTACTTTTGAGTTGAAGTTTGTTTGGCAAGACACACTCCAGTTCATCAGCTGCTGGAAGGAGAGCTGACTCGAGTGTCTCCTCCCCCCGATGGCTGACTTGGGAAGAGGAGGTAAATAGCAGATGGCTGATGAGGCTCTATAATTAGCTCTTGATTTCTGTGCTTCCAGTGCTCTGATATCATTGATAAGCACGACACAACCAGTGTGCAACACCTGGGGCCAGTGGGTGACACGTGCACAGTGAACAAGGATCAGAAGGGGTCTGGAAAACCCCCTCCCCAGAGCACCTGCCTTCCAAACAATGTTATTTTTCAGAGATTCAGGCAGACCCAGTTGGCACGTGGATGCTGCTCCTCGTTTCCTTTGCAATGGTTACAATTTAAAATCTCTCAGGGTTCTGTGTTCAAGCAAAACGACCATCACTGCCAAAAGGGCAGAAATTGTCACAAGGCCAAAACCAGATCTTCCTGATTTTGGTTTAAGAGAGGAATTTATTTTTCTTTCCTGCTGCAGAACACCAACCTCCAATAGTGTTTACAGCAACCAGAAGCATCAATATCACAAATAAAAAACCAATGCTAAAAAACAACCATTTCTTGCTTCCTTCTACTGATAATGCTGGACTTCATGCCCTTTGTCCACAAGTAAACCAAAATAAACCAATACCCTGCTTTAAATCTTTGACATTTATACTGGGGAAAAACCCATCCCCAGGCTCCATCTGACAGCAAAAGCTTTAGCTTAGAGCAATATGTAAGTTCTCAACACTAATTTAATTTCAAAGACTGAAAGACCTTTTTTTGAGCCCATTATTAAATCAAATGTAAATATCAAGAGTTATCATATAGAAATCAAAAATTAAATTTTGGTAGATCCCTCCCAAAATATTAAGAGCTCATGTTTAAGCTCAAAGAGAAGAATAAGCTTTTAGAAATGCTACAAGCCACCAATCATGTGCTTCACTATCTCCCCTTTGGGTAAATCATCTGAAAGTTCCTGGGAAGCAGCTTAAACCAGCACTTGCTCCTGCCCCACAGCTTCTAAAGCATGTTCAGTGATCAGGTGATAGAGGCACGAGCTCCACAGTGTTCTCAAAGCTGTGTGTCACCACCCTGACTGAGAACTCCAGTAATAACTCCAGATCCCATCCCATCATCTCATTGCTCTACAGCATCTGTGACTGTGGCCAAGTCCAGAAGAGAGCAAGAATAACCCAGAATTCAATCCTAGGTAAACAGTCACATTCTACTTTCAGGATGCTCTTCTCATGCAATGAGAAAAAGACTTCAACAAAATGAACCAATGCCTGCATTTTTCAGATAAATTCTCTCCCTGACACCTCCAGGATCAGGTGTGGCCAAGGTGCAAGACCAGAAAACAGCTCTTTACCTGCCTGCCACACTGCAGTCAGAGAAATCCTGACAGGAAAATCAAGGAAAAGGTTCAAACTGACATTTTGGTGCTCTTGCTCTCAAGTTCAGTAACGTGCAATCACTTGGGGAAGGGAGCTCCTTCCTTACATCAAGAACCATGCTGGCTGAACACTGATGCAAAGCTGTTCAATTTGGAAATAGTGATGAAGCTGCTTCTCTTCTGGAGACACAAACTGAGACCTGCCCCAAGTTTTACGACACAAACTCAGCACAGGCTGCAGTGCTGAAGGACAACAGGACTAGCACAAGATGAGTGCTGCAAGCCTGCCCTGATGAAAAGCCAACTTTTCTCTTTCCATGGCAAAACCATTAGTGAGGAGTCCTGTATGACCATCCCAGGCAGAACATTGCAGTGGGGGTTGCAAGAAGCAACTGGGGAAGGCAGAAAACCTCCTGGAAGTGATCACAGCTTCTGAGCTCAGCCACAGCCAAAGCAGGTGAATGTGGGACCCCAACATTGGTGTCCCCAGAAAGCAGTGCTGGGCTGTGGTCACAGGGAGCAGCAGAAAGCTCTCTCAGGTGAGATGAAGACAGACCACAGCTCAGGGATGTCTGCACACCTCAGGTGACTGCTGGTGACTGGGGAAGTCCAGCAAACACCTCTACCCCAGTCCCACATGCCCAGAGGCTCCACAGCACCCAGGGCTCACAGTAAAGCAGCCTGACCTCCCTACACAGAACTGCTTCCAAGGACAGATTCTGTCCTCCTCAGGACACAGGACTGCAAGGATATTTTCTCTGCTCAGACCTTGCCAGATTAATTTAAAAAAAAAAAGAGGGACAAGACACATGGAAACTTACAATAACCCCTTAAATATCAAGTGCTGTATAACCACCCTGTCCTCTCCTAAATCTCCAACCCTGTGGATAAACCTTTGACAGGACTTCAGCAAAAACACTGAAGCATTATCACATAGGAGGCAGCCCCCTTTCCCAGCCTTTTATCAAGGAAAAGCCAAGTGAGCAGCAGAGGTCCCCTCTCCCACCCCTCAGACAAGCAGAAGAACATCCCACCCCGGGGGGGTGGCACAACTCTTCAGTCCAACAGTTATTTTATTCGCCCCTGCTCGTTCTCTAGAGAAGCAGTAAAATGCCCAACCAGCTCAGAGCTGATTGTGTACAACCCTGAATGAACAAACTCGCCAGAGGAAAGGGGGACTGTACTGTTCATCTCTGAGGGTCCCCTCCAGATCCAGTCCACAAAGGAGTTCTGTGTTCCACTCTGCCCCAGCACCAGAGCTGTGTTTATCCAGTGCAATGCCCACTGCCGGCAATGGACACGCCACAGCGGCCACTGTGCCATCCCAGGCCTCCTTCCCACCTCTCACTGCTGCCAGCCCGAGGAAAAAGCCAGTGTCACCTCCCTTCCTCTGCCTCGGGAGCTCTCCTGTTCATGTCAGTCCATCTTGGCCACAGCCCTTCTGAACTGATTGTGCTGTTTTTCTATCGCTTGTTTGTTTGTTTTTAAAAAAAGGAGTTTCATCTCATGTTCCGCTACGATTACAAGTGAGACAGAGTCATCCTGTCTTCCACCAGCACAACATCTGGCCCAAACTGATCTGTGCACTGCTTCACTGTAGCCAGGATGCTGAGGAGCCGCTGGTCCAGGGCGTCCAGGTGAGGGGTGGAGAGCACAGGTGAGATGGGGTCATGCGACATGGCAGTTTTTAAGGCAGACTTCAGGACTCCGTTCTTCAGGTAATTCAGCCTGTTCCAGGTGGAAACCCGGATGCTGCAAAAGAAACAAACACACATCACCACACCAGGGTCCTGCTGCATCCCACTGGGAATAGCGGCTCATCAAGAATGGAGACTCATTGCAGAAGTGGGTTTGGGATGGCGGGGTCCAGGTGGAACTGCATCACAGACAGGATCTAATGAAACTTGAAAACTAAAGGTGATGAAGAATCAATCTGGTGTCACATAACTCTGATGTTACACAGGAACACTTCTGGCTGAGAGCACCAAGGTCTTCAGTCCCGCGGCCTCCCAGACTGAGTTTGGAAATAAAAGAAAAGGAAGGAAAAGCAACAAATTCAAACAAAGGTCACCTCAGGAAGAGCATCACTGACCAATAATGAATCACAAAGGACAAAAGGCAGCTGACCAAACTTCCAAGGAAGAGAACACAGCAGTGACCTTTCCTCTTCATTGACCACTGAGCTTGTTTGTGTCACCTCATCTCAGCTCTTATGTTCTGTGTAGTCTCTTGGGATTCTCCCCAAAACCTTTCAGGGCCAAATCTTTAGCATCCCTGGTCTAAACTCTTGAGTTTAAAGGCTTCTAATAAAACCAGCAAAATAAGAAAGTGTTGTAACAAACCTATAGTTAAAATAATTAAGCAAATTAAGTATCGTATGGCATTTGCCCAGTACCAGAAAAAGGAAAATCAGAAAAGCTGGAAATTGCGAAATCTCTAAAGAGATAAACTTCTCTGGTTGCATTTGGGGCAATCAAGATGACAAAGACTCCAGAAGAATCTCAATAAAGTACAAATGAAACATACATTTAAAATTAATGTAGGGAAACTAAAGAATTTAAAAGTTCTTTATCTGTTCTCCATATGACTTTTAAAAGGATCTTGCAGAATGTAGGCCAGGTGTACTGCAGCATGCAGGGAGCTGTGCTTAGTGCAAGCAAGATGAGAGCCCAGGCTTTCTGCAAAGGTCCCAGAGAGGAGAGAACCTTTCAAGGACAAGCTTCACAGACCAACTCCATTTGGAAGGCTTGAAGGAGTTCATGTTGAAGTAACAAAGTCAAGAAATTGATATCTCAGTATTTTTCTTCCTGGGAATTCTCATAGAATCCCAGAATGGCTTGGACTGGAAGGGACCTTAAAGAACATCTCATTCCACCCCCCTGCCATGGGCAGGGACACTCTCCACTAGATCAGGTTGCTCCTGATCAACCTGTCCAACTTGGCCTTGGACATTTCCAGGGATAGGGCATCCATTGCTTCTCTGGGCAACCTGTGCCAGAGCCTCCTCAAAAGGAAGAATTTCTTCCCAATATCCCATCTAACTCTGCCCTCTGTCAGTGTGGAGCCATTCCCTTGTCCTGTCACTGCAGACCCTTGTCCCAAGTCCCTCTCCAGCTCTCTTGGAGCCCCCATGGACACTGGAAGGGGCTCTGAGGTCTCCTCAGGCTTCTCTTCTCCAGGTTGAACACCCCAGCTCTCTCAGGCTGCTCCAGAGGAGAGGTACCCCAGCCCTTGGAGCATCTATTTCCTAATGAGAAGTAGCAATGGCCTGGTAAGAGACTGGACACAGAACAGAAATCAGAAAGTCACAGCCTCTGAAAATAAAACCACAGCTCACAAGGCCAAAGCAGAAACAAACTCTGCAAAGAAACAACAAATTTTACTTGAGAGGAGCCCCCTGAGCAGGGCTGCACTTTTCATTAGGAACCATGTTTGAAATGATTGAACTGCCATCCTTCAGTACTGCCAGGGAGAACTGGAGCTGGGATGTGCACATTGATTTTTCAGGAGCTGGGTGGGATGGCTGCAGATGCCAAGTGCCTGCCACACTGACTGTGGACAGAGCTGAACCAGTGACCTGGAGGAGAGACCACTTTCTGCAGCCAGCCTTCTGCCTTCATGAAAATGTATTCCTCAGCTTCTTGGGAAGTGCCCATCCATCAAACAGACAATATCTCAAAAAAGTACAGCACTGTGGACCCAAGCAAACCTCTTCAGGTTGCCAGAATGCTCCCAAGTTCATGAATTGTAAACCTAAGGACAGCAATTACACAAGTACAGTGAACAGCAGCTCTGTGCTTCACTTACATGCAGCACTGATAGAGAGGAGCCAAGATGCTTCTTTCATCCAGGGCAGGGTTTCCAAAGCTGAAAAGCAAAATGAAAACCAAGTGAACCAGCTGAACTCCTAAGGTTGTTCTCAACATAAAAAGCTTTGTAAAGAATTCAGAGAAATCAATACTAGGCAATTTCATGCTCCAAGAGATCAAATCATTTAAATTAAAATATAAACAGGCCATGACTAGTCACAGATATAATTTTCATCAGCACCAGCTAAGCAGGTAAACAGAAGAAGCACAGTATACCCAGTGCTTTATCAGACCCAGGCACCTTAGACAGGCATTTCAGAGGAGTTTAGAAATGATGCAGGGGTAAGGAATAACTGCTATTCTGGGCAGGCAGAATGGGAGCTTTGCCTGTCTGACACAGCTGGGCAGGGAAGGAACCAAACAGCAGCAAACATTAGAGCCACAGTTCACTAACAAGGTGATCAACTTAAACATTTTAAGCCAGAAGGCTTCCACAGTATTTCAAGCTTCATCCAAACACATGCTGGATTTATTTTTCATAGTTTCATCTTCCTCATAATACTGTTTTCAACTAAGAACTTTCCCTTCAATAAAGATAAGTTGCTGCAGGGCCCTGGCCTTATGCTGCCCAAATAATTCTGTTACTTGTAGCTTTAAAATTAACTAAGTTCCCAGCAAGTGTCATGGCACCATCTGCTCTTACTCACATGGTTTAGTTTTAGGCAGCCCTGTAAGAAACAAGGAATTGGGGTCAATGATCCTTATGGGTCCCTTCCAAATTGAGATCTACCATGGTTCTATGAAAAACTGTCCCCTACCCATTATTTCAAAGGATCTGGTCCTTCACAGAAAGGAAACTCACTGCCACTCCACATGGGAGTGCCCACCAGAAAAATAAATAATCCAGAATTGCTGGACTAAATGATGGGAAAGGCAAATAGATGACCTTTACGTTTTTTAAGAAATTAAGAAAATTGTTATGATTTAAACAAGGCTGTGTCTTCAGTATGATTTTTAACCTAAACTATAGTGGACAACGTACAGAAAAACTATAGCAAGGACAGAAGAACTCATATCCTAAACGCATTTTAAAAACATTTTTGTTTGGGTAAGAGTTAATGTCCACACTTAGAGCACATCATTTTTGTGTTTGTTATCACTTCTACCTCCATTCTAAACTTTTAACCTTTCAAAGCCAGAGCAGGCATATCCAGAAGGCAGGAATGCCAAATTATTCAGAAACACATTTTAGAAAGATCTGCTTTTGTTACAGCACTCACTTATACTGACTGGTGATAAATAAAAAAGCCTAAGTTTTCAATTTCCATTAATTAAAAGCCTAAAAGGAAAGGGCATTTTTGGGGATAGGAGGAGAGACTGGAGCAAACATTTGAAAGTTGCTTTGGCAAATACTGTGTGAACTGGGGAGTTTGTGTAGCTTGAGCAGGACTTTGCCAAGACAGAAGAGTATCTAGAGCACAGAGCCAAATCATGGAGTCCTAAAATGGTTTGGGTTGGAAGAGTTGGGTTAAAGCTCATCTTGTTCCACCCCCTTGCTGTGGGCAGGGACAGGTGCTTCAAGCCCTGTCCAACCTGGCACAGGACACTACAAGGGATGGGGCAGCTTCTCTGGTCAACCTGTGTCAGGGCCTCCCCCTCTGGCACAGGACACTACAAGGGATGGGGCAGCTTCTCTGGTCAACCTGTGTCAGGGCCTCCTCCTCCTCAGAGGGAAGAATTCCTTCCTAATATCTGATCTAAACCCACTTTCTTTCATGAATCCATTCCCCTCCTCAGAGGGAAGAATTCCTTCCTAATATCTGATGTAAACCCACTTTCTTTCATGAATCCATTCTCCCTTGTCCTGTCAGCACCACAGCCTTTGCAGGACCCTAACATATGGTGAGTAATTTCTGATAAAAAGGAACGACGATTACCAACGATACTAAAGAACAAATTAGCGAGAGAGAGAGAAAACAGAGAGAGACACACTGGGAGACACCCTGACCACAGCCAGGGCACCAGGGCCGTGCCCAGGCTCACCTTTTGGCATTGTCCAGCAGGATGAGCATGCTGGCCCCCTCGTCGTCCTGGAAGCTCTCGTAGTGGTGCCGGTCGGCGTTGCCGATCAGGTAGTCGAAGATGGCCGTGTCGATGATGTCCAGCAGGCGCGGGCCCGAGTCGTACGGGGACGTTTTCTTCACGGCGTCGCAGTAGCTCTCGTCGTACTCCCACCTGCAGCCAAGGGGAAGCAAGCAGCCCTTCAGGGAGCCACCCCTGCACCCCTACAGCTGCCCTCGGGCACTGTGAGTGCGCCAAGAAAGGGGAGCAGCCCAGGCCAGACAAAGAAGGAAGAGCTGGACAAGTGTTTATGAGAAGAGTAAGGCCTGCATCAACATCCCAGCCTGTGGAGCAAGCTGTAGTTTCAGTTCAAAGATACACAAAGATCATCTTCCTATAGAAAACAACCTCAGAGTTTGCCTCCTCACAACTCCACAGTGCTGGGCTATGTTATGGGAAGATTACTGCCATGCCTTGCCTCCCTCAGCTTCCCAAGGAACACTTCAGTACTGTGCGTGTTTCCATTGCCTTGAGCTGTTTCCATCTGGCTTTCCAGACAGCCCCTTCCTTTTTTATTTTTAATGCAAGTATCCTAATAGTGGTTAGTGATGAGCCCCTCTGCCCCCAGGAGAAGGGCTTCACAGTGGTCACTCTCCCTCACTCAGTTGTCTCTTTCCTCCCCTCTTCCTTTGCAGAGCATCTCACCTTCTTCTCCACTGACATGATTTCAAGCTTCCCTCTTATCTCCTTCTCCTTCTCCACATAATCGCGTAACATGGATGTCATGTCTCAATTCTCCAAAGCTAGGATTTTAAATTTCCCCATTTTCTTCTTTACAGCTTTCAAAACTATTCAACACCACCACCAAAACAGCCAAATCTCTGGTGTATAGCCTTTCCATCTGTCAACCTAAATAACAAGGACATCTTCCACGTAAGGACTGAAACAATCCTTCACAAAATAGCAGTTAAATTGGAAATGCCTTAAACCATCTGTGATTTGGAAACAGAGATGGAAGAAACACAAGCTGGAGAGACTTGCTGACATGCTCAAAACTGCAGGTAGTCAGAAAAGTAGGAAGATCAGAATTTAATTACTATAACTGCCACGTATCCCACTTCCACCTTCTGGAACCAGAGATCCCAGTATCCCACCTTTCTTCCAGGTAACCAAATCAAAGAGCTTAAAAATTTATCTTCTCAATGTTCCTAATAACAGGTCACACATGCTCCTCAAATGCTGTGCCTAAATCCCCTAGGAAAAGGGATCTTTGCACCAAGGTCCAACTCACACTCAAGGTGTAGCACAAATCCACACAGCAACAGTCTCAGAACCTCTTCTCCTTGTCCTGGATATGCTTCTTATGCTGCATCCCACTCTCCCTCAAGTGTTTCTTTTTCTCTCATTTTACTTCAGAGCAGTACTTAATCTCCTTGCCACAATTTTTCAGCTATACTGTGCTCTCTCTCATTTCCCATGCAGTCTTTCAAGAGAGACTTTTATCCAGCACTCATTTCTGATAATTTATATTGTATTAGCACAGGCCTTGGAAGGTCAGGGATTTTGCCTATTACACCTCCATTAAAAATTACGTACACTAATGTGCCTGTGTGAATTATGTTCAAAAGGTCAACTCAAAACAGCAGCTAGAGCAGGAAAAAATTCTTACAGGGTTATTTTCTCACAATTACCATGCACAGAGAAAGGAGAGCATGACACCAAGAACCTTTAATTCTGATCTCTCAAAGTGAAATGTGCAGCATGACATGGTGAAAAACAAGAGAACCTTGTAACCTCATCTGAAGGAGGCAAGTGTGAGTTTAAATACACCAAATATCAAATCAGCACAGGAATCAAGCTAAACCCCTGTGTAAGCAGGCAGGGTGTGATGAAAAGGAGCCTCTCAACAAGAAGAACACCTCCACGAAATTCATCCTGTTCATCACTGCAATGTACCATGTACTAAACACAGCTGATTTTGACCTGCTGGGAAAGAAAAAACATCTGCTGCTCAAAATTCAATCTGTGCATTTTATAGCCTAAAACAATTCAACAGAGCCTTTGGATGAGATTCTTTCTGAGAACAATCACATCACTGGAAATCAATGGATACTTTAGATAAAGGACTGAAAATCTCTTCTAATCACTTTCAAGTTCAAGACAGATTTGGAAAAATTTACTCAGCTCAAACCCATTTGTTCTGCTCATGGCAAAAACATCCCCACCTCAGGAACTCAGATGTGTTACATCTATCGTAGAATGCTGCTTAAAGAAGGACAAATGTGGGATTTAGCATTCTTTACATGCTGAGCATGGTCACCAAATACTGATGGCATTCAAAGCAAAGGACTTTCCAGGGGGTGTTGATGTGGCACAGCCTGATTTTTTGTTGCTGAGCATGGTCACCAAATACTGATGGCATTCAAAGCAAAGGAGGTATTGATGTGGCACAGCCTGATTTTTTGGTAACAGGGGAAGGCCACAGGTTTGGCCTCTGTGAGAAGCTGCTGGAAGCTTCCACCATGTCTGACAGAGCAAATAGTGGCCAGCATTGGAAGCATGACAAGTGACCCTCTAACACAGAACCCAGATGGGATTGACTTCTGGGCACTGTGGGATCTTGCAACAGTCTTTGAATTGGTGGAAGTTGACAATGGTACCTACAAGCAGCAGTTTATCTTCTAGTCAGAGAAGAGGAGCAAGTGAGAACATGTGAGGGAAAACAACATGGAGACACCAAGGTCAGTGGAAAAAAGTGGAAAAAAAAGAGAGGAAAGAGTTGCTCCAGGCATCAGAGCTGAGATTCCTCTGCAGGCCACGGTGAGGACCACGGTGAAACAAACTGTCCCCTTGTAATGCATGAAGTCCATGGGGGATGCAGAGATCCACACACAGCTTATGGAAAAGGGCTCATGGCTGAGTGGGTGGATGCCAGAGAAAGCTGTGATCCAGTGAGAGACCTAAACAGAGAAAGAGGGCCCCTGCTTCCAGAGAAAGAGAGAGCTTGCTTGCCCTCTCCTTGCTTCCAGACTGGAGTAGCCTATCTTTAAAAGACTGTACTCTGTGGACAAGTGACCCATGCCACAACAGTTTTATGACAACTGTGTGCCTGTGGGAGGGACCCCATGGCACAGCAGAGAAAAGACTCCTCTCCCTGAGTGAACAGGAAAAGATTTCCAGTTATGAACTGATCAAAACTCCCACACCCTGTCTTCCTGAGCTGTTGGTGGGAAGGAAGGAGGGGTTGGGGTGAAAAAAGGTGTTTTAAAGGCTTATTTTACTTCTCATTATCCTCCTCTGACTCTGTTAATAGTAAATCTACTTTATACCTTTAAATTTGGACCTGTTTTGCCCTTAGAGTGTTTTTTTTTTCTCCTAGTCCTTATCTCAACTCACGAGCCCTTGGTTAATTTTCTTCCCTCTCTTCTGCCCAACTGTAACAGAACTGTAAGTGAACAACTTTTGTGAGTGCCTGGTGTTTGGCCAGTGTCAAACCATGACACAGGGCCTAGCTGAAGTTAAACCAATTCCACGACTCTGAAAATGAACTGTAAGGTTCATGAAGTTAGTGCTGACACATTTCAGGGGCCACAGCATCAACAGAAGGTCCAGTGGCACAAGAGAAGAATCTTAGCTTGCCCACAGACAAGATTTTCAGAGGTTGGAGTGACTGCATTGTGGAGTTCTGTTCCAGCCAAGATACAGGAAAAGGACAGTGCTTAGTAGTGTGGAAAACAATGAAGACTTTTTTATTTCCTCCTTTCAATTTAAATTTTACTCTGGACTTCTTGGCTTCTGCTGTTGTGCTGTTGACACAACCGTAGGTTTTGAAAGCACTGAGAGCTCTTTAATTACCCAAGGGTCATTTTAGTGCAGTGACCATCCCATACCTGGCCAGCTTGCCCTCGCGGTAAGTCCTGCCCCAGGGGTGCCGGTGCTTCTGCAGGGGCCAAACGTCCGGCAGCCACAGCGTCACCGAGCCCTCCATGATGTCCCCGTCTGCACAGGCTGGCTCTGTCTCCCGACAATAGTAGCACTTCCCATAGAAGCAGGTGTTATTGCCTTAAAAAGAAAAATTAAGAGGTATTAATTCAAGGAATCCAACTGAAATTCAGGAGCTTGTTGTTGCAGCAGAGGCTACGCAACAGGATTTCACTGCATTTGTCTTTGTGGTTCTGTCTCTGACAGGGAGAGGCTCAAAAGAGTTTGCACAGACATAACAGGGGAAGGCCACAGGTTTGGCCTCTGTGAGAAGCTGCTGGAAGCTTCCACCATGTCTGACAGAGCAAATAGTGGCCAGCAGTGGAAGCATGACAAGTGACCCTCTAACACAGAACCCAGATGGGATTGACTTCTGGGCACTGTGGGATCTTGCAACAGTCTTTGAATTGGTGGAAGTTGACAATGGTACCTACAAGCAGCAGTTTATCTTCTAGTCAGAGAAGAGGAGCAAGTGAGAACATGTGAGGGAAAACAACATGGAGGTATCAAGAGTGGAAAAGAAATAAGGGGAGAAGGTGCTTCAAGCATCAGAGCCAAGATTCCTCTGCAGGCCGTGGTGAGGACCACGGTGAAACAAACTGTCCCCTTGTAATGCATGAAGTCCATGGGGGATGCAGAGATCCACACACAGCTTATGGAAAAGGGCTCATGGCTGAGTGGGTGGATGCCAGAGAAAGCTGTGATCCAGTGAGAGACCTAAACAGAGAAAGAGGGCCCCTGCTTCCAGAGAAAGAGAGAGCTTGCTTGCCCTCTCCTTGCTTCCAGACTGGAGTAGCCTATCTTTAAAAGACTGTACTCTGTGGACAAGTGACCCATGCCACAACAGTTTTATGACAACTGTGTGCCTGTGGGAGGGACCCCATGGCACAGTAGAGAAAAGACTCCTCTCCCTGAGTGAACAGGAAAAGATTTTCAATGATGAACTGATCAAAACTCCCACACCCTGTCTTCCTGAGCTGTTGGTGGGAAGGAAGGAGGGGTTGGGGTGAAAAAAGGTGTTTTAAAGGCTTATTTTACTTCTCATTATCCTCCTCTGACTCGGTTAATAGTAAATCTACTTTATACCTTTAAATTTGGACCTGTTTTGCCCTTAGAGTGTTTTTTTTTTCTCCTAGTCCTTATCTCAACTCATGAGCCCTTTGTTAATTTTCTTCCCTCTCCTCTGCCCAACTGTAACAGAACTGTAAGTGAACAACTTTTGTGAGTGCCTGGTGTTTGGCCAGTGTCAAACCATGACACAGGGCCTAGCTGAAGTTAAACCAATTCCACGGGTTAATTTTCTTCCCTCTCTTCTGCCCAACTGTAACAGAACTGTAAGTGAACAACTTTTGTGAGTGCCTGGTGTTTGGCCAGTGTCAAACCACGACACAGGGCCTAGCTGAAGTTAAACCAGTTCCACAACTCTGAAAATGAACTGTAAGGTTCATGAAGTTAGTGCTGACACATTTCAGGGGCCACAGCATCAACAGAAGGTCCAGTGGCACAAGAGAAGAATCTTAGCTTGCCCACAGACAAGATTTTCAGAGGTTGGAGTGACTGCATTGTGGAGTTCTGTTCCAGCCAAGATACAGGAAAAGGACAGTGCTTAGTAGTGTGGAAAACAATGAAGACTTTTTTATTTCCTCCTTTCAATTTAAATTTTACTCTGGACTTCTTGGCTTCTGCTGTTGTGCTGTTGACACAACCGTAGGTTTTGAAAGCACTGAGAGCTCTTTAATTACCCAAGGGTCATTTTAGTGCAGTGACCATCCCATACCTGGCCAGCTTGCCCTCGCGGTAAGTCCTGCCCCAGGGGTGCCGGTGCTTCTGCAGGGGCCAAACGTCCGGCAGCCACAGCGTCACCGAGCCCTCCATGATGTCCCCGTCTGCACAGGCTGGCTCTGTCTCCCGACAATAGTAGCACTTCCCATAGAAGCAGGTGTTATTGCCTTAAAAAGAAAAATTAAGAGGTATTAATTCAAGGAATCCAACTGAAATTCAGGAGCTTGTTGTTGCAGCAGAGGCTACGCAACAGGATTTCACTGCATTTGTCTTTGTGGTTCTGTCTCTGACAGGGAGAGGCTCAAAAGAGATTGCACAGACATCCACTCATTTAGAGCAATTAAAGAATAATATGAAAAGAAGAGAGCAATTATATTTTCTAATGACTTTATCACTCTGAGAATTAATACAGCATCACACTCTCAACAAGTTTTTGTGATCCTTTCCTAGCCCCAAGGACCCTGACTTTGCAATGTTAACACTGCTTGTTGTTCACATTTCATACTTCATGTGTCAGATTTCCCACTTACTTGAAAAAGCTGATCAAAAAGAGATAAGTGAAAAGAGACACATCAGAACGCAAAGGGATTTGGTGCCCTGAGACCTGTCACATGTCTCAGCTACTTGAGCTGACTTGGTGGAGGAGACAGAAACAAGTATCATTCTCACATGATCTAGGAATGCAGATCTGTCAAAGCTTCATCAGTGAGGAGCAACAAAATGCTGCAGCCTTTAGTCCACTAACACTGATGCATCCTGTAGAATCAAGTAATCTGGAGCAGCCTGCATTAGTGGTTTTAACCTTTTCTATCTTCCCCTTCTTAACTCACCTTTACTTCCTCCTCGCCAAGTTAAATCCAGTTCCATGCTCACAGATGTTCTTCCAAAATATTCTTCAGCTATGTCTCACTTGGTTATGATTACCCTCTGTCCTTTCTTCCTTTGGTTCTACATCCAATATCCTCCCCAGAGCAGGCTCAGCTCTCCAAATGCCATGTTCTTCCCTTTCCACCCTCACACATCCCCACCTCTCAGCCCTCCATCCAGGCCCTGTGCTCCCAGTATCCTGTCAGACACCCTGAGCATGTCACAGATCATCACCAACACAGAGCTTGCAGACCAGATCTCTTATTTGTATGGAAAGCCTGCAAGTCTCTCTTCCCATCCAGGGGCTGCAGCAGGTCTAGCAAGAGACAAATTCTTTGAGATTCTAGCTGTAACTCCAGTAAACCTGCACTGAGTATGAATGAATGCTCTCTTCTTCAAAACCTCAGGAACTTGGTCAAATTTGGCCTGACAAAAGACCATAACCTCCTCCACAGACCAACCCATTTCTTTAGTTCCTGTCTTTGCAGAACAGCGGTTCCAAGGAATCTCAGGAGGAGCAATGAACATTTCTGGAGCCTTACTTCTCAAGTCAGCACTGCTGCTAGCAAACAGCTTGGCTATCTTGGCTGAAATTGGAAAATGTAAAGGCTGCCTGAGGCAGGAACCCCATGTGAATGCCAGGAGAGGCTGATGAGGCTGAGCTGAAACTTTCATCTGGAAGTTGCACCTTGTAAGTGGCAGTGTCAGGCAGCAGGTGAGACTGCCAGAAGTGCTGTGCTGCTAACAGGAACATTACCAGGGGTAAGGAACAATCATCTCTGGAGCCTTCTGATTAGGAAATGAAACAAACAAACAAACGAGTAATAATTGGATGGTTTATGAAAGCCTCAGGGAGTTAAGGCTGCAGCATAAGTAATTTCTTGGTGCTTAATGACCACCTGGTAGGAGTTCACATTAATAGCTTCTATTATGTGTCCTTCACAGCATTATTACTGTAAACAACACAGGGAAGTTCTGCCATTGGTTGTAAATGCTCTGCAGGTTCTGAGGCAGCACAAACAACATCTAATACCAACCAGTGTGTCAGCTCTATAAATTACCCCAAATCACCACTCTCTTCACATTAAATACAACTTTATTCTTTTCTTTTCAGGTCTAATCACAGACTTTTCTAACCATTTTTGACAGCAGAGAGAAAATTCTTACTCAAAAAAAAAAAAAAATCCCATCTGTAACAGCAGCATGAGGGAAGAAAACCAAGAAACTACTTGAAGAAAACCAACCAAATCCTCCTCCCCCTCCAAATGGGGTTATCCAAGATCTCTCTTGGCACAGAAGGAGCTTCCTGCATCATGATTAACTGCTCTGTGTCAGGCTCCCATGGCTCTTTTTTCCCATTCAGCATTTTTCCCTCCCTGGGCAGCACAGCCCATGGCATGCACTCACCCACAGTCATGAAGGTGCCCAGGAGCTGCTCCGTGGCCACTGGTTTGATCTCGGTGCGCAGATTCACGAACCTGCCCACCACCAGCGGGGCCCGGCGGAATCCCAGGATTCTGATGGGGGTGAGAAAACACCACCTGAGAATTTGCAACATAGGCAACAGCTCAAAATTAAAACAAAAAAACCCCTCACAGTCTCTGTCAGAGATGATAGAGACCAAAGAGTAAAGCTGAAGCCCTGCAGGAGCCTCCTCTCTTCTCTGAGGCAAAGTAAGCAAACTCATTTTTCATATGTGCCTGCATGTTAAACTTTACAGGCCATCAGTGACACTCCTTTACTAAAGCATTTGCAGCAGAGCAACAGAGGATGCACCATGCTCCAACTCTCAGAACTCAGACCTCACACCAGAAATATCCATCATGTGTCTGAAGCAGGCTGAAGCAGTAAAACCATATGGCCCGTGGGCTGGTCACCTGGAAAGATCATTTCTAATTTGTGAGAACCACTCTCTATTAAAATGTTATGCTTAAGCCCAATTCAATTACACTTGAAAGCAACCAAACCAAGAGTTGTTTTGTTTGGCACAAGGAAGGAGAAGGGAAGAGAGAATGGTAGAACAAAAGTGAATGTCTGAGAAGTGCCTGGAAAAACAAAGGTGGGAAGAACAACCATAAAACTTGCAGTTACAAGATCCAGGTCCCACTCCCATGCCTGCCACAGCCTTTGCTCAGTGACCACAAAAGATTTGGGTGCTTGTAATAGAATTTTAAAAATTTTAAAAGTGCTTAAAGAAGTAAAAAGATCAAAGAAGTGTCAGCCCCAACTCTCTTAATGCACTTTTGACACCCTTTGGATAGCCTTTGCATCTCAGAAAAAGATCCTGAAAAGGTATTCCTGAAGAATATAGAGGTGCAGAGCCATAGAAAAAGATCAGAGAAAAAAAGCACAAAATCATGACCAAATGGACAGCAAAGAAGAGTTAAGTGAGATTTGGACATTTGAAAGAGGCTTTGATTGAATGGTCAATCACTACTTTTTCAGAGAACCTGAAGCCTGTATGCTCCTTGAAAGCACAAATGGACTGACATCTGGCTCCATTATCTTTTTATCTTCTTAATATACCCTGATTTTGGCCCACCAGCACAAGCTGGCTGTAGCAGCAATGGGGGCTACTCAAGTAGTTATCATCCTAGATATTCTAATTCTTCCTAGAATTACTGATTTCTACTGCCTGTGCAAGGAGTTCCACAGGTGAATCAGGACTAACAGACATCTCTGTCACACCTATGAGTTTAGTCACAGTGATAAGGCTCTTAACTATGTACTGAGAAACCTCAGCTTGAGTTTAACCATTCTATCCTTTGTTATATTTGTCCCTCCTTATTCCTTTTCTCAAGATTTAATGTGTTTTCACCTCCACATCTTCCTATGAGGAAGCAGAGACTGTGCTCATTTATGTTAAGTGAAATTGCAGCTCTATCAGCATTTCATAACTATTGACATTCAGTTTCTGGTGTTTTCTGTCCCATTCTTTGAACATCCTATAATTTTCATTTTTTCCTGTAATTGCACCTCCAGCACAGGTCCACAAAACCCCCTGGGTACCCCAAGCACAATATGAATAACAGGATTTCCTCTAGGATGCACTGATTCCTATCTACTCTAGACTAAATTGTTAGTCTAGACATTAGTCTTGGCTTTTTAGTGAACTGGACATGAACTCAGCACATACATTTAATATTTCAGACTTTTCCACAGCATTTAGCTAAGCTCTTTCTCCCCTGTAATATTAACTAGAGTGGTTTCAGGGCTCATTCTCCTTCCCAAACTTTTCACAAGTATCTAAAATATTACACTCTTGAACAGATCTTAGAAACAAAGTTTCACAGAATAAGCGAATTCTTATTTTGCCTTCAATGTGGTAAATTGGCAGGTTAGAGGTGGCTGCTATCTGAGGTGTATTCTTCAAAGAACCCCTTTTTTCTGGTACTTTCCAAAGACAATAAAACCAGACAAAGCAGTAATTCCATACCTATCCAAGTGAAAGGCTGCCACTTCTGCGTTGTGTCTGTCGTAGCCAGCGTAGGGTTCTCCTTCCACTATATAATCCCTGGCATATCTGGAATTGAAATAAGTCAAATGAAGTGAGTCTATGTAGAATCCCTGTCAATTCTGCTGTTCAGAGTAACAATTTAATAATAGTTAAAGAGTCTCTGGGTCACCTTCCAAGTGACTGCCAATGGGAGAGTGGAAAAACTTCAATGAGATTAAAGTGTTCAGACTGTTGAAGTGGTAAATAAGGAGGAAAGGTCAGTGATGTACAGTGCTGTCCAGAGCTTGGGAAGCAGCTCACATCCCAACCAAGAAATTTTAATCCAACCATATGCCAAATCACATCTTAGAACGAAGAGCACAGACCCTGCTATGGAACAGGGGTTATTTATACTGGAAAGCAGCAACTCCACAGATGATTTTGGGGTTACAAACAATTGTACATTAACAATTCTCATTAACAAATACAATCTTATATTGTGGAAGAGATGGCAAATGCAATCTTAATAGATAGAAAATCAGCAAGTGTGAACCTCAGGACAAACCTGGGTATAAACAGAGCCTTTAATCTGGCAGAGAAAAGACATAACGAACAGCAAAAAATAGAAATTAGGCACTCATTGCAACAACAATGGTGTATTTTGGTGAAGTGCAAGGCTTTTTGCTCCCTTTTTTATCTTTTAATAGATGGTACTTAGTCAAGGCAAACACCAAATTCTCAGCTGCCTGACATTTGGATCAGTGTAGATACTGCTGCAGCACCACACTGCAGCTGAGTGTGAAATACCACAATCAATACTGAGCAAACAGGTGAAATGCAACATGTCTTCAAAGAAAATAAGGCCAAATTAGGTAACCTATTTTCTTATTTCCATCTATGTATCAAATTGTGTAGACTGGATTATTTCCAGCAGAATTTGTGTTCAAACAATAGCAACAAGGAGGAGTAAGGTGTAAGAGGAGGCACAGAGCTGGACCTCAGTGTTTCAGCCTTGCTCAGGGAGGATGTGGGCTGAGAAGACAGTCCACTCCCCCAGCCTGAGCAAATGCTCCAGCTTCTCTGCAAGGCAGCTCAAAAGAGAATTCACCAGTGCAGGATTCCTGGCAAATGGGAGCTTTCACCAAACCAGCATCTTCTGTCACATACACCACCAGATGACAGCAAGTATTATATGTTAGTAAATTAGGCTGAATTTCAAGTAAGAAATTGAAGTGAGCCAGTGAATCCTCAGAACACGTCCCCAAAGGCAGGCCTTTGGTAGGCCCTCACAGCTGGCTTTTGGAAACATGGTCACATTTTGAAAGTTGCAAAGCTAAAATTTATTAGTGAATCCTGACCAAACTGTTTCCATGCACAGTAGGCAACTAGTCCTTTCCAGAGCAAAAGAAATGAGGGAATTCCTTCTTCTCCTGCTGGTAGAACTGTTTTTGCTTGCTCAGAGGTGTAATTTATGACAGAACTTTCAGGTCCAAAGCTGGTTAAATAGCCTCTCCTGCAGTGCCAGAACAGGACTCTGCCCACAAGCCTGGCTATTCAGCAGTCACACACAAAATGTGGGTCTACCAGGATGGCCAAGGCCACCCTCTCCAGTGCTCCTATGAACATTCCCAGCTGCACATGTGCTTGCTGGAGCTCAGTGCCTGTGCTTGTCTGCAAAGACAGGGCATTACAGAATGCAGTTTCATTCTCCTTCCCAAACTTTTCACAAGTATCTAAAATATTACACTCTTGAACAGATCTTAGAAACAAAGTTTCACAGAATAAGCGAATTCTTATTTTGCCTTCAATGTGGTAAATTGGCAGGTTAGAGGTGGCTGCTATCTGAGGTGTATTCTTCAAAGAACCCCTTTTTTCTGGTACTTTCCAAAGACAATAAAACCAGACAAAGCAGTAATTCCATACCTATCCAAGTGAAAGGCTGCCACTTCTGCGTTGTGTCTGTCGTAGCCAGCGTAGGGTTCTCCTTCCACTATATAATCCCTGGCATATCTGGAATTGAAATAAGTCAAATGAAGTGAGTCTATGTAGAATCCCTGTCAATTCTGCTGTTCAGAGTAACAATTTAATAATAGTTAAAGAGTCTCTGGGTCACCTTCCAAGTGACTGCCAATGGGAGAGTGGAAAAACTTCAATGAGATTAAAGTGTCCAGACTGTTGAAGTGGTAAATAAGGAGGAAAGGTCAGTGATGTACAGTGCTGTCCAGAGCTTGGGAAGCAGCTCACATCCCAACCAAGAAATTTTAATCCAACCATATGCCAAATCACATCTTAGAACAAAGAGCACAGATCCTGCTAAGGAACAGGGGTTATTTATACTGGAAAGCAGCAACTCCACAGATGATTTTGGGGTTACAAACAATTGTACATTAACAATTCTCATTAACAAATACAATCTTATATTGTGGAAGAGATGGCAAATCAGCAAGTGTGAACCTCAGGACAAACCTGGGTATAAACAGAGCCTTTAATCTGGCAGAGAAAAGACATAACGAACAGCAAAAAATAGAAATTAGGCACTCATTGCAACAACAATGGTGTATTTTGGTGAAGTGCAAGGCTTTTTGCTCCCTTTTTTATCTTTTAATAGATGGTACTTAGTCAAGGCAAACACCAAATTCTCAGCTGCCTGACATTTGGATCAGTGTAGATACTGCTGCAGCACCACACTGCAGCTGAGTGTGAAATACCACAATCAATACTGAGCAAACAGGTGAAATGCAACATGTCTTCAAAGAAAATAAGGCCAAATTAGGTAACCTATTTTCTTATTTCCATCTATGTATCAAATTGTGTAGACTGGATTATTTCCAGCAGAATTTGTGTTCAAACAATAGCAACAAGGAGGAGTAAGGTGTAAGAGGAGGCACAGAGCTGGACCTCAGTGTTTCAGCCTTGCTCAGGGAGGATGTGGGCTGAGAAGACAGTCCACTCCCCCAGCCTGACCAAATTCTCCAGCTTCTCTGCAAGGCAGCTCATAAGACAATTCACCAGTGCAGGATTCCTGGCAAATGGGAGCTTTCACCAAACCAGCATCTTCTGTCACATACACCACCAGATGACAGCAAGTATTATATGTTAGTAAATTAGGCTGAATTTCAAGTAAGAAATTGAAGTGAGCCAGTGAATCCTCAGAACACGTCCCCAAAGGCAGGCCTTTGGTAGGCCCTCACAGCTGGCTTTTGGAAACATGGTCACATTTTGAAAGTTGCAAAGCTAAAATTTATTAGTGAATCCTGACCAAACTGTTTCCATGCACAGTAGGCAACTAGTCCTTTCCAGAGCAAAAGAAATGAGGGAATTCCTTCTTCTCCTGCTGGTAAATTTGCTCAGAACTGTTTTTAGGAGTAATTTATGACAGAACTTTCAGGTCCAAAGCTGGTTAAATAGCCTCTCTGCAGTGCCAGAACAGGACTCTGCCCACAAGCCTGGCTATTCAGCAGTCACACACAAAATGTGGGTCTACCAGGATGGCCAAGGCCACCCTCTCCAGTGCTCCTATGAACATTCCCAGCTGCACATGTGCTTGCTGGAGCTCAGTGCCTGTGCTTGTCTGCAAAGACAGGGCATTACAGAATGCAGTTGTCTCAGTGAAATGCTTGATGGCACTCCCTGACACAGAAAGCTCTATGGGAATGCTGTGAATCTCCACTGCTTCCGTTGGAGGAGATGCCTCTAGTACCACCAGGATTTTGTGTGCAAGGCTCATGCTGTCTGGGCCTGCAGGGGAGCTCCAGCCAGAGCAGGAATTGGCTGTACAGACTTTTTTGTCATTCTCTAATCATAGAATCAGAGACTGCTTTGGGCTGGAAAAGCATTTCATTGCAATTCTGCTGCCATGGGCAGGGACACTTTCCACTAGACCAGGCTGTTCTAAGCCCTGTCCACCCTGGCCTTTGAACACTTCCAGGGATGGGGCATCCACTGCTTCTCTGAACAACCTGTGCCAGGGCCTCACCACCCCCACAGGGGAGAATTTCTTCCCACTATCCTATCTATCCCTGCCCCATGTCAGTGTGAAGCCATTCCCCTTGGTCCTGTCACTGCAGGCCCTTGTTCCAAGTCCCTTTCCATCTCTCTTGAGACCCTTTATGCACAGGAAGGGGCTCTAAAGTCTTCCTGGAGCCTTCTCTTTTCCAGGTGAACAGCCCTAGCTCTCTCAACCTGTCTCCAAGCAGAGGTGCTCCAACCCTCAGAGCAGCTTTGTGGCCCCTGCACTCACCCATTAACAGGACAGGAAACCTTAATGCCTGCTTAACCCAAAATCTTATTCTGCGATGACACTTCTCATTTGCAGTGGAGTCTCCTAAAACACACCTGGCCTTACTTTTTAACATTTTTCTTCTCCTTTTCCCCAGAGACAAACAGTTCAAAAAGCTTTACAACATTCAATCATGTCACTTTTTCCTGAGGATCACTGTAAACTGAGTCCATAACAAGGAAATATTACTACCCTCCATTCTTATGTTGCTCCTCCAATACTCACTGCTGGCAGACAGGAGGCTCAGGGGCTCTCACTCTGACCTACCCAAACCATTTTTACAGCCTACATTCAACTACACCAGACACAAAGATGTCCTTTTGAGACCACTGCCAAGTTTCCTTCCTTCCCTGCTCCTGAACTGCACCCTCTCCTGACAGCCTGACACAACAAGGAGGCAAAGCTTGTCTCCAACCTGCCAGAAGCTGCACTTCCAGAGTGAGGAAGATACTGCTCAGAAACATCAGGTGTAACCAACATCCCCTCAGGACTGAACACAGCGGTTGTTCTTTTAATCTAAAGACAGGCTGTACTGAGCATCAGGCTGTACAGCATGAGACAGCTAATGTTACTAGAGCACCGGCTCTAGTTTTTTGGAGCGTTTTTGAGAGTTTTTTGAGACATTTTTTGTCTCAAAAATCACAGGATGGTCTTTCCACTCATAACTTAAACACTAATGTGACAACATGGAGAAAAAAAGCATATATAAATGAAGCAGTTATTAATGCAGCCACCGAAAGCCGTATTCACCTCTTGGGCTTGAAGACAACCTTCTGCCCTCCTTCAAGTACCAGCAAAGCTTTCAGCTGCGTCCCTTTGTATCCCACGTCGGCCTTGACGATCTTCTTGGTGCTCATGGCGTGCATGACGGCTCCCAGCTCGGGGGTGTCCTCGGGGTACACCTCGCGGGGCACCACCCACTGCGCGGCGATCTCCCAGGGCGACTGCAGCGTGTGCTCCAGGCGCGGGTCCAGCGCCACGCGCAGCCCCTGCAGCATGCGCTGGAACGCACGCTGGTCCTCCCGGTTGGCCGCCGACGTGTCCAGGTTGTCGATGAGGAAAACCTTGGTGAAAATGAAGATGACGAGGAGGATGGCCAGCAGCACGACTCGCTGCTTCAGCTTCATGGTGTCTTTTGGCCCTTCTCCCCTGACCCGTTCTTCCAAGCGTTACGGGAAGTCTGTTGGAGATCAGGGTGAGGAAGGGGATGTTAGTGGATGAATTTCATGCCTAACTTGCATCGTAAAAGATGTCTCACCACTGAAGCATCTCCTGGTACCCCTAAAAATAAACAAAACACAAACTTAAAATCCCGCAAATCCCACCAAACTCAAAATCAAGTTTATGCTTGGAACATAAGCCTGTATTCATGGAAACCTGTATCCTAAAGCCCGAACACTTCTGTTAAAACACACTGGGTTTGCTGCCTTCCTGCAGCCTTTCTGTGATCTGCACGGAAGGGGAAATTGCCAGATAGCATCTCTGCACAGCTGAAATCATAGCAGCTGCAACCACCACGGGCAAGACTTTTGCAGGGAACTGTAGTTTAACATGATTGCTCCAATTTCACATGCACTCTTCCACTAGTGTGAGATCCCATGATTGCTGGTGTCCTAAAGACCTATCCCCCAGAAAAGCTCCCAGGTGAATTTTAAGACAGCTCACAACAGTGAGAACAGCTGCACAGCCTTCTTTCCTGAAGGTACAAGACATAAGGACAGAACAGACTTAATTGTTTATTGCCTTTCATTTGCTGCCACTATAATTTACTCAGATTTCTTTCCATTGTTAAAAAAATATGAGCTGGGGTGGAGGATGACATCTTTACTTCCTCACAGTTAACTAAGTTCCTTCTGCACTCAACTGTAAAACCTCTAACCACAGAAAATATACAAAGTGTCTGCAATCTCAACCAGATTAACTAGAAAAAATATCCCAGACCACTAACTCTTGCCTGCTCTCACATCCTCACCTGCAACAGTTAAAAACACATCTCTTTCTATATTTACAGTGGGCTCCAAGACACATCTGGCCCCTCAGGAAGCCTTGGCCAGGGCAGTGTTTGCATGCAAGGACCAGAGAATGCACCATCAACTGTATTTAAAGACAGAATTACCTTCCCAGTGTTAGCTGAATGCAGTCAAAAGCCAAAAGGAAAGGGGACATGAGGCATACCTCTGAGGGGCACTGAGAGCCAACAGGAATTTCTCTTCACCAGCCACACTGATGATGCAAACCCCAAACGGCACCCTGGGCTGGGGGAGGACTGACACAGAAAAGCCTTCTCATGCCATTTAACAATAAGTGTATAAATCAGCCATAATTAATCATGGCACTGGAAAAAATGAGCTGCCACAGGCTCCTTTGCCAGCAGCAACCACAGGACAGCCAGGCCATGCACACACAGGTCACAGCCATCAGTGCAGAATCAGGCTGGCACGGTGTAAGAGTGTTAGCATAAAAGGACATGCAAACCCACAGAGGACTCCAGAGCACCCAGAACAAATCTACATGAGGTAGAGCAGACCCACCCAGCCACACAGCTCTCCCACACCCCTGTTAGCACTCACAGCAGGGCAGAGACCCCAGCAAGAGCAGAGGGTAGAAGCCTCTGGGATGCTTCAAACTAGAACCACGGTCTGCTGTTAACTGTGTAATAATGATTTTAATCTGTTGGAAAATAAATGCTCGTGCTCATACTGAAAGAGAACAAATCACATGTTTATATGGAAATTAGAGCATATTATTATTCTTCATCTAGTTCTGTTTTGGCAGCCTGTTCTTCTCCAGACAGCACTGCCACCTGCACACACCTGCACTGCCACACTGCAAGCACAAGAATGTGAAGCACAGACAAGGAAGATGCACCTGACCCAAAAGCTCTCATTGCTGCAGATACAGACTCACCCAGGAAGAGATCCTTAAATAATAATCACATTATTCTTAAACTTAAGCAGACAAGCAAAGCGGATTGGCTGCACCTGCACCCTCTCATTTTAACTGCATAATTCACCTCTTTAAAACTACTAATTCTGAATCATTTTCAGCACTGCATCCATTCATTTTTAAAATCCATTAGAGTTTGTAAGGAGTTAGGCAGAAGAACAGAGGCCATTTCAGAACAGTTACTCCTTGCTATGGATATGTGTATGTGTACACACACATTTAAAGAAAGCCTCACAGCACAGGACTGGCTGACTAAAGCACTGAAGCTAAGGGCAGGATGTTCCACACCTCTGGAGCTGAAGATGAGCACTCACTTTTCTACACTGATTTCCAGGAATACTGAGTTTCTCTAGGGATATTCTTCCTGGGACTCGGGGGGAGAATACAACTCCAGTCACTTAAATTAAAGGTGATTTACTTAGTTTATCTTTTGTGACGGCTTTGAAACTAATTTTGGCTGAAACCCTCCAATGAGGCAAACAGAATTTACAAAAAATAAATAAAATTCAATATTTAATTATTTGCTGGTGAGTTGGCTCTCACTTTTTAGTGACATCTGAGGACATGAGTCATCGGCTGCTTTCCTCCAGCAAACACCAAAGCACCCCTGAGGTTGCCATGCAATCAATTTCCCAGTGCTCCACGCACAGCCTGCACTTTGCTCCTTGGTGCCAGCATTATACCCTCTGCTCTGCAAGCCAAGGGAATTGAATCCTTTTATGAACAAGTTTACCACGGACAGCAAGAACTTGAGTTTACTGTTCTAAATTGAAGATGGCAAGGGCAACAGTGTCAAGGCAATGTAAAAAAAATATTTATGCTGCTTTGGAAGAAAGTAATTTGAAAAAGACAAGTCTTTGGCAAAGTCTTGGATTGGAAAGGAAGATTATGAGAACTCCAGAAGTGTCAAGCTGGCCCTAGAATGAGGTCAGAGATGAGAAAAGTGAAATAACAATACACCACCAAAATTTTAAAAAGGAAAAAATAAGGTGAGCATGAGCAGAACTCTGTGGAACAAAGAGCAAAAGGGTCTTGGACAATGACAAGAGTAAACCCAGCCAAAAAGAGAAAACAGCCAGAAATAAACAGCCCTAGCAGCTTTTTAATGGTGTAGTCAACTGCAAGGTTTGCATAAGAAATGTTTCTTGTTTTTCACTACCTCTTTGGGAAATTTCCTGATCAATTCTTTCTCTTATTACAACCAGGTCTGTATTCTCAGCAAGTATGAGTCCTCCAACTCAATACACAAATAACAGCATCTCCTCAGCATCATGGTGGGGTCACTGTGCACACAAACACACAAATTAAAGAATGTCTTCTGGCACTAAATACCAACATCAGACCACTTCACTCCCAGTTCAAAAAACAACATGAAATTTGCCTGTTACAAAAATTACAGCTACTATAAGCAGCCTACAAAGTTACCAGAAAAATCCCACAAGACATTTCTTATTGGAGTCACAAAATCAGTGGCGTGCCTCATATCACAATCTTATTTTTATACCATGAAGTCCTTTAGCTGCTATGTCAAAAATACTTGTGTGTACAATTTGCCAGGATTTCATTATGCTCCAAGTCACAAATCAGGTCCGGGGGCAGGCAAAGGTTTAGTTTGGCAGCATAAGTACACAAAAAATCATAGCTCAAACAGACACTGATCTGAAATGGATATGGTGGGAGTAGAGTCTAATTCCTGTTTAATGCATGGGGTTTTTCTTATATACACTATACCTTTTGGGATCACCTATCAAAAGGCCTTTAGAAGTTCTCCAGTAAATCCTGGAAAACGCCTTGAAGAAACATCGTATACAGTAGTGACATTTTCCTCTTCCCAAAACATCCTTCAGCCTCACCAGATCAATCTTCCTTCCCATCCTCCCCTCTCTGGCCAGCTCCTTGGTGGCTCATGCCTCCCTTCTCTGTGTGAGCCTTGTTATTCCAGTTTCCACAGGCAGGCTCCCACAGACCTTTCCTTGGATTTCTCAGACTCATTCTGTCATTTCCACTCTCTGCGTGCTGCCTGCCTTGTGTACAAGTTTAGTCATCTAGTGCTCAAGGCTTCCCACGTATTTACTTGTCTGCTGTTTCTCCATCTCCTCTCCTCTGAAAACCCTCCTTATCTACAGGCAAAATCTGTGACAGCCTACACTCAAACTTTCCACAAACACAACTGCACCCCTGGTTGAGAGCTACAATGCTGATAAATATGAAAGACCACAAGCATTTTAACCACTACAATATCTCTGCCTGCAGCTGCAACAATCAGTAACCGCCTGAAATATTCTCACACAGCTTTGGAAAGAAACAAAATAATTTTGTCCATCTGTCTGCCCACCTTGGCCTGTTACATCCCTTAGTAACTCAAGAATCTGTCACCTGCACTTCTGCCAAATTTGTCAGAGGACTACTGACATGAGCTTTACAAAAACCACAGGCCAGATAGAGGACAGAAGCCTTGAGAAGCCAAGGACAACTGGGTAAATATCCTGAACCTTTCCCAGCTGCCGGCACAGCAAACAGAACACCTGACTCAGCTGGCTGCACAAATAAGGACAGGGTGGGTTGGGGTACAGGCAGCTCCTGGGAGCAGCCCTGGGCAAGGAGAAGCCACCAGGCACTGGGAGCCAGGCAGGAACTGCTGGGGTAGGATGTGGCAAAAACTCCTCAGGAAAGCAGGCTGCATTAATCCTCCTTGCAGAACGACTTTCCACCGAGCACCGTTTCCTATGGAAACAAAGTTTATATAATCACACTTTTCACTTAGATCCACCAGCTAATTCCAAACACATCTGAGAGGACAGTAGATGTTTTGAAGACAGGGTTTATGTGTTTATTGGCAGCCGGGGGTGCAGCAGGGAGGGCCTCAGCCTTGGCTCAACAGCTGTCTGCTTGCCTTGGCCATGTGGGCAACCCACTGGTAGGGGCAGGGAGCTGGGAATGCCACATGGGCAGGGAGGGATTGGGAGCACTGAAACAGGGAATGGTACAGGACAGGGGCAGGAGCCACGGGCACTGATACAGAGGGTGCTGGGACGTGGTCAGAAGACGGCCGGAACAACTCTCCCTTGTTCCCATCGCAGTTGCTGACATTCCCCCTGACCACTACAGGTCAATAAAGCCAGCTGGAAATGCTTTAGGGAGCCTTGTTCCACTTGGAAATGAAGCCAAGGCAGTGAGAAAATTCCGCAGTTTCCCTTCTCCACTTGACATGTTTATTCATCTCCTACATGACTGACATTAAAAATGTAACGAGGGTCCATGTACCCATCTGGATTTTAGCAGAGATGAGCCTGTCGCTGCTGTAGGATGGTGCCAACCAGCCTCTCCCACTCCTGAGGAGAGGCAGTGGGATTCTGGTGTCAGAACCAAGCTGACAACTTTGTACCATGAAGCAAAATAAACTTTTTACCTCAAATGGAGGCACATCTTGTAGTGACTATGTAGGTCAGATTTAAGGACACGGTGGGTGCATGCAGTCATTTTCAAATTAAAACAAGACACAAGCATGCCTGTTCTGTAATAAATACTAGGTGGGATCCACTCACAATGAATCCACTGCAAACCCAGGATCTACATTTTACAGTTTACTGTTTGGTCAGCCCCTAAAGCATTATGGATGTTGTAGGGCCTCAGAAGGTACAATGAAACAGCTGCAGTGCTTGTGCACATCTGTATCCAGAAAGGATCCAAAGAGAGATATCCTTTAAAAGGGTTAAACCCATGCCTTTGACAAGCACAGTCAGCGCTTCTGTGGACACACACTGTATTTTTCCACCAGTGGACAACGACCTTCGCCAGGCTGCGACTGGCACTCGGTGAGAGCCCGCGGCGCAGACGGCTGCTCCCAAGGGTTAACAGATGGCCAGAGAGGCTTCACAGCTGGACGGGGCTCCGTCCCCGGCTCAAAGCGAGCACCCACAAGAGGAATGAACCGCAGGAGCGCAGATACAAACTCCCACCGGCCGGAGCCGTGCAGCCCCGCCGGCCAGGGGCGAAGCCGGGGGTGTCCGGGGCCGGAGCCGCGGCTCAGGCCGGAGCTGTCAGGAAGGACGTGGAGGTGCTGGAGCGAGTCCAGAGCAGGGAACCGAGCTGGGGAAGGGTCTGGAGCGCCAGGGAGCTGGGGGGGCTCAGCCTGGACAAAGGAGGCTCGGGGGGACCGCGCTGCTCTGCACAGCTCCTGACAGGAGCCTGCGGCCAGGTGAGGGTGGGCTCTTCCCTCAGGCAACAAGCGGCAGGACAAGAGGAGGGAGCCTCGACCTGCGCCGGTGGAGGCTCGGGCTGGCCACAGGGGGGATTTTTCACGGTAAGGGTGGTTGGACATTGGAACGGGCTGCCCACCGTCCCCGCAGGTGGGTAAGGAAAGCCCGGACGTGGCACTTGGTGCCATGCTCTGGTTGACAAGGCGCTGCTGTTGGGTCACCGCCCGGACTCGACGATCCCGGAGGTCTTTTCCAGCCTCAGTGGGTTCTCCCGCCGCCGGTCCGGCCGCAGGGGCCCCTCCGCCCCCTCCCTCCCGCCCGCCGCCAGGCCCGGGAGCCCCTGCTGTACCCGCCCCGGGCCGCAGCAGCGCCGCGTCCCCCTGGCCAATGGGCGCCCGCCCAGCCCACCGCGCGCCGCCCGCTCGCCAATCAGCGGCCAGCGCTGCCCCGGCCGGGGAGACGCGGCCGGGCGCCTCCAATGGGAACGGCGGGGGGGGCGGCCGCCAATGGGGCGGCGGGGGTGACGCCG